ACAAAACTCAGTAAAGCCAAAGCCGGGGGCTTATACGACCTGTGGCCAAAATGACAGAAATTATTTTATGTAGAAATGAAGCCACTGGAGGCTAAATTTCAAAACTAAAACAAGATACAAAACTTAAATTAAGTAATGCAAGCAGTCCTGTGAGTCCTACAGCAGAGGTAAAACTAGAAGTACTAGTGACAAATAAACAATAAACTATGATAATCCTGCGCTAATTCGATTCAATCCAGGCTTAAAAAGTAAAGTTTTAGTTTCTATTTAAAGTCAGTCGTGGTAAGGCTGTTACGGACAGTGAAGGGTATATCAGTGGGATATCCTTGGCCAAATAATCGTTGCTTGTGAACTACATGTAATAGCAAATTGATACCTGAGGGACATTTTTAAGTGCAAGTTGAACGAGCCGACGAGTTAGATAACCATGAAAATCACAATTAAAGAGGGGGAGCATCAAGGAAAGAGAGGCAGGTGGAAGGATATTAAAGCAAGAGAGAATAGTTCATTCTCTCTTAAATAAAGTCAGTGAGAATACCAGGGAAATGATAAAAAGCTTCGAGACTAGGAGGCTTAGAACGTGTTCGTGGGGACGAAAAGGTGATAATTCGCGCGCGAGAGAGAAAAGAAGAAAAACCAATCTCAGTGCTCAAGCAGACTCTCAAGGTCATGTTTCACATTATCAAGTGCTTATGAGTCGTGTTTTGCCTGTCGGACGCTAATTTCTACTGAACTGAATCGATCGTTGTTTCGGTCAGCATTTGTGAAATAGCGTGCACAGTCTCTCAAGAGACAATCTACGTATTCCAACAAATCCGTTGTCGGGGAGCCAACAACCACCACTACTTTGAGGGCAATGAATAAGAACCAAATCTTGCTCGAAATCAACGCGGTCATTGCGGCCATGCTTGATTCAAACTGAAGTTACTTTTCAGCTCCATCGTACATGAAGGGGTTTTTTGCTGACGGTATAATTCGGTGCCTCTTATACGACGACTTTCTGTAACCCCATATACCACATGCTTGTTTGTAACGCATATATATGGACTTTTTTGTGCGCATATATATGTGCGTTAGTAAGAAAATAGTCATATACTTGGGAATAAAACGCAAGTATACGTGACAAAAAAACGCACGTATATCGTGTAGCAGGAATGATTGCAAGTATACGTGGGAAAAAACCGCACGTATATCGTGTCATAATTTTGAAACAAATGGCCGACCATAAGTTTGCTGAGTTTAATTTGCTTGAATGAAGACCCTCGCATGGACCAGTTATTACTAAAAGCTACTAAAAAGAAGTAGCTAATTTAGCTAAGTAGTCGGAATCATGGCTTGGCTGCGACGCTTGCAACTGATCTTTTTCTTTTAAGATCTTTAGGTAGGTTGTTTCCGTACAGAAAATGCACTTCTTCTTTGTCATCAGGTATAAGAGCCTTAAGCCTTGTGTTTTTTTAATGAAAATTTGTTGTTTTGCAACCTTATTGAAGCTTTTTTTAGTTACTATGCATGACGGAATTGTTGTTTGCTTGTCGCATCTCTTTGCCAGCTTAATGTGGCGTCTATGGTCCTTAAAGTGACCTCAATCGGTAATTAATTCTTACACATAATTGGAAAGAAGTTTTTGCAATAATGTAACTTTAACTTTGTTTGAAGGAAATCTTACTAAAGCGTAGGTTTTTAACAGGTGTTATGCATGTTCAACTTGACAACACAAAGCAAAATTAATCTGCGCGAAACGATCAAGTTTGAAAAACTATGGTTGCTTTGAAACCGATCTTGGGGAAGATTTACTAGATAAAGATTAACTTTTTTTCTGCCCACATATCAACGCCAAAACTTGTACATTGAGGACTTTGTTTACATTTTAGTGATCTGCGAAGCTAAAAGTGTCCGATCGAGCGTGGGTTTTAAAATATCAGCTCGAGTGCGACAAAGTTCAGTGACTTCAAACACATTGTGGGCAAACTTGAATTTCTTTGGGCAGATTATTCAGTACAAAGATATTTTGTTTTTGAATGCATCCTGAAAAGAATCGGACTTACGCACGCACATTTCCAGTACAGCTCAAGGAAATTAGTAAATGTCGTTAAAGTCAGTTTTACTATGGTGTATTCTTCGAGAAAATTAAATAATAAGAAGGTTATAACCACAGCTTGCAACTTTTGAAGACAAATTGCCTGTTCTTCCAGGTTTATGGCCGCACAAACCACTTCTGCACCAATTCGACTCGAAAAACTCTGTTTTGAATTTCCCGCTTTTTTTCACCTGACCAACAATGACGTCACAAGCTGTTTTTTCCGACAATTTTTCCGACCGCTCTACGAAGATAAGGGCCAAAAAACAGCAATTTTTAATTGCGAATATCTCGTAGACACTAGCTTCAATTGAGCTGAAACTTCATAGTATGTTTATTTGGTTCATATTAAACACATTTTACTAGAATTGAACTAAAATAAAAAATGTCGAATTTTTGGTTCATTTGACCTTTAACTGATAACAATGAATTTAAAGATGGAAGCCGAAGATTGAACGCGGTTGATGATGTAGCATTTGAACCGCTTTCCCTTTTACCCAGCGCCTCAACAAAAGAAAAAGGGAAGCCAGTGATGAAACGGACAACCACCAAAATAAATCGTTGAACTCATCAGGAGTAGAAGAACCTCTATGGCCGGAGAACAGTGTTTCATCACACGAAGACAGTTTCAGTGTAGATGATGATGGGGCTGAAAGTCCGGTTGCTTTTGACGAAAGTTCAAACAGGAAAGAAACAAACAGCGGCGGAAAGGCTGGAACGCTTGAAGGTACATGTACTTCCAAATTGAATAACTTCAATATGAAATAACTTTTTTTTGTATTACTTACTGCATGCAAAAACCTTATTTTTGAACTCGGTGGGAAAGTAGAGGAATCGCGGACAATTAGTTGGTCTTAATTCAGTGCTTCAAAAAGAACCAGGCATTCGCCATTTGTACATCTCCCATAATGAACTTTGTTTGCCCTTCCTTCGTCCTTTTCTTCACAAACAAGAACACTTGTGATTTCAGAGCACTTTCTCGGAAATGGGAAGCTGCGTCGCACCGATGATCTCGAAAGCGGGTCGTCACCTTTTGACGTGCCACTCTTCGTGGCAGTGTGGCAGGTGTTTATTTAGGCCGAAGTATTTTTCATGCCGACACGGTACGGTAAAGCAATTTAAACACGTTTCACTTAACTGAATGAGTTAACGGCCACCTTGTTCCACCCGACATCTTTGTTGTTGTTGTTGTTTCTTTTTCCAATTAAACTCAACAATGCCGCAGTGCTAAATGCTGTTTACAATGGCTTTCGAGTTTTTGTGATGCACCTGTCAATGTTTAGCCCCGGGGGAGGGGTGGGGGGCGGGCATACCCAGGGGCGCTAAAAGGTGCTGCAATCGGCTCCTTTTTAAGCCCAATACTATTAATACACATTATTAAAAATTAATCGAAGCTATCAGATTAGACATGAAACACGCTTGCTCTACGTCAATTAAATATCTACAATTTTTAACTTCTCACTTTTTGTTTGTCTTGTTTTGCAGCTAACACGTAAGCGTTACCTATTAGCTTGAGGCTATCCCTACACTGCTGATACAGGATAGCTCGTGCGTCGGCACGGAAACCACATCGGAAATGGTTTTGTTCACTAACAAGAACAGTCGTGATTTCAAAGCGCTTTCTCGGACGTTGCAAAGCCCTGTCGCCCCGATGATCTTGAAAGTGGATCGTCACCTTTCGCTGTGCCACTCTTCGTAGCAGTGTGACCGAGAAGTTGATATAGGCCGGATTATTTTTCTTGCCGACATGATTAAGTTGAATTCGATATAGTAAAGACATTGCTTAACACGTTTCACTTAACTGACCTTAACTGAATGAGTTAACAGCCCCTCGTATTCCACCTGTCGTAGTATAGTTGTGTGTGTGTGTTTTTTTTTTTTCAATTAAATTCAACAATGTCGCAGTGCTAAATGTTTGCTAGTCAGTACTGTTGACAATAGCTTTCAGTAGCCAATTTCGGTCGTATCAATTCTTCTTATGCAAATTCCATGGTGTCCATATTCAACTTTATACAGTTTATAGTTATACATGTGATTGAAAAAGGCGCATATATTTGTGCTTTAATGCTATTTTGCACCTTTATAAATAATAACTTATTATTATCATGTGGACAGCATTGGAGTTTCAAGCGCCCCTTAGTCGGTTGCTTAATTAACTAACGAAACGAAACGGTAGATGAATAACCTGAAATAACCCAAACAATGTTCTAATTAGACCTAAATACAATAGCAGGTGTTTTTCCAATATAAAGAGGGAGTTCCGCGTTTATACCGTTGCTGATCCACTCTCCCTAAATATCGCTCAACTTTTTGATGGACTCGAACTAAAGAGAGCACTATGATTGCTTCGCTGTACTTCTGTAGTCTTTTCCCTTTGCTTTCTTGGAAACAAGTGTCAGCCTGTTCTCAAGTGCAGGGTAGGTGTCGATTAAATTAAGTAGCTGAGGAATATAAAGCAACATGATTACTCTTGGCAAATTCAGTAAAAACCCAACTATCTTTTGAAATAGTCTTCCGGTCTGACAATGATTTCAGTTCTAACTTGAAAAAGACAGAGCGAACATTATAGCGTTTGGCTCCTGCCATTAGTTTTCGTATATGCAATTGAGATGTACGGGATCAGTCTGTGATCATGATGTCCCCATCTATATAGACTACAACTGAAATTTTAGAGAGCTGTTAGTTTTTTACAGACTGAAAAAGTTTCGACAAGAAAGAAGCCGCGTTGTTGAATCCGACCTTTTTTAAGGCACTCGTCTCATGTTTTCTCTCAGTATATAAACTCCGAACTGTCGTTTAGGCGGCACTTAATTCATCAAATGACTAAGGTTACAAGAATGAGAAACCTTCAGATACGAAACTAATAGAAAACCAACTTTATGACCGAAATTATAACAAAAGACAAAGAACCAAGTAGCAATGTGTCAGTCTGTTTTTTAACAAGATTTTTATTGCATGTTTCCCTGCTCTGTTGTAGTTTTGCTAGCATTATTTTCAAACTCCGGTTTCAGGTCCATGTCGTGAACTGGCGTTCCCAAGTTTCCTTTTCTTTGCTAACAAGCGCTTGCTGAACCACACAATAAGAGTTTTACAAGTTCAAGATCTAGATGAGTGCGAGTTACGATGTTACCACGAATACAATTGTGTCAGTATTAATTTTAAATTCAAAATGCTTGCAAGAGGAAAATACAGCTGTGAATTGAACAATTCAACACATGGCGAGCATGAACGAGACCTTGTACCTGATCAAGATCACTTTTATCGTGGAACCAAAGTAAGATGACAAAAACTTTCGTTAATCAGTTATTTCTTGCACATTTTTTAAATGTACTGTGTTTCCAGTTGTTAGAAACGGTGAAGAACCAGAAACGTAAATACTTGTGTTATTGGCTTATATCGTCCTTGTTGTTTTGTACCGGTGGTATAGACGGGACATATCTCCTGGAAAATTAAGTATGTCTAACAAAAGTTCTTTCACTTTTAGCCAAATGACATTAAAATAGCAGGACTGACCAAAAACGTGACTTCGGGTAAACAAAACTAAACATCAACAAGGCCTAGTAAAGCCGGTTGTTACAGAAGGAAATCAGGCACACATTAAAATAACTTGAGAATTATATATAAATCCCTACTGACGAAACAAATTTAGTGGCCAACTGAAAACTCTAGGGAGACAATGCCGCCCCCCTTGCAAGATTTAAAATCACATCAAGCTTGCTATATTGATTAAGCCGAAGGATATTACAAAAATTACAGTTATATTTATTGTTTGAATATGATTTTAAAACAACTCCGAAACATAGTGCCTTTCGCAGCGAAAGAGCATTCAAACTTTTTTCTTTCAGAATGCATGCTCCAACTCTCCCTGTCAAAATAACGGAACGTGTCAATCAGGCTTCACCAAGAAAGGATATCGATGTTTGTGTCCTGATGGTTGGACAGGTGGAACATGTAACATGGGTAAGGCTCAAACATGGAGTTCTTCACTAAACACTAAACCATAAGGTTTTCTTGACCTTTTTCCAGACAAGGAAATGTACAAAAAAGCGTGATTCACGTGCAAAGTTCGTTGTTTTGCTAATCTAAACTTATTGCTTTTTTGCTGTTCTCGTTGCCGTCGCTTAAGCTCGCAGTTTTCATGTCGACATGAAAAGCTCTCCAGTATTGTATGAAACGCCTGTTCACACTGCACAAAAGAGTGGCATACAGAATCCTATCCGATATGTGACGATCCACTTTCGAGATCGGTGCGGCATTGCTTCACTCCTTTACAGAAGTTGCACCGAAATCACCGTCCTCGCATGTGTGGAAAGAATATATCCAATATGGCTTTTGTGCCTGGTGCAAGAGCTAGACCGGTATAGCCTTAAACTCTCATTCACGATTTTATTCACTATCATATCCTAGATATTGATGAATGCGATGAAAAGAGTCACAAGTGTAGCAAGAATGCGACTTGTACAAACAAGAAAGGATCTTACAAATGCAGGTGCAAACATGGTTTCCATGGTGACGGCTACAACTGCACAGGTATCCCAGTGTTTCATCTTTCTGCTTAAAATTTTAAACAGAATAACAAGACACTTACTTTTTTTCGTTTGTCGAATGTCTCAGAATTTTCTGTGTCGAAGAATTGATGTTCATACAATATGCTGTAATCTTCAGCAATGGGCAGAGCTGCTGTAAACGTTATTTTTCTATTAGATATTTTATTGTACAGTTAAGCATAATTAGTCACAGTCTGTTAAGGGAGCGGTCATTAACTATTGGGGGGAGGGCCGGTATTATTTCAAAAGCGAGGGACCAAAAATTTTAGCCCCTCTCAGGTTAACAGCCCAAACTTCCTGCCCCCTCCAAAAATGTGTGCCCAAAAAATTGTAAACCTCCCCTGTAATAACATTTTAAGACAATTTTTTCATTGGAATAAAAAAAAGTGTTAGTATTCACAACATTTACAAAACCCAATTTTTTTCTTTTTGTTAGTCCAATAACCACACAACAGTTCAATAACCACACCAGTAGTTCAATGACCACACATTAGTTCATTGAGCGTAAACTACATGTAGCTGTGGAAAAAATAGCCACAACTACGTTAGATATTTTTTAAATTAGAATGTGTAGCATTAAGTAAGTGATACTCATTTAGCAACGATACAAGAACTAAATTTACAAATAGAGCAATTTTCAATTGAGTGTTGAAAGTAATCCAGGATTGAATTGGTTTTGCTTTACTGTGCTGTTTGATTGGTCTAGAAAACTCGCGCCACCCTCTCAGCCAATCAGATGTAAACTAAAACCAATCGCTCCTTGGTCACTCGCGTTTTCCCGCGCTACAGGCCGGTTACACGCGTTTACTTCGAGTTGCCATTGGCTCCCTCTGATAATTTCCTTTACTCTGATTGGCCGTTGTGATTACTTTGGTTTTGGTTTTCGACACTCAATTGAAAAGCGCTCTAGCTATGGCACATTGTTATAAAGTTTTAGTGAGCTCACTAATATAGACAGGAACCTGCAGGAACATAAATTGATGGTAATTAAGAAGTTCTTGTCTGCTCAGAAGGTCTGTCATTTTCATCAGGGGCACAGTGAACAGCGGCCTGGAAAGAGAGTAAGCGCTGAAAAGGGAAAGCTAACTCGGTCGGGAGAAAAATTCGGATACTAAATAAACCGACAGAGCGCGCGTTGATAAAGCAGACAACATAACGGTTAGTGGTGGATGAAACCTTGTTTTAACTCTCTTTCCTCACGTTTCAAACTACTGGTGTGGTTATTGAACTAACAAAAAGAAAAAACTTAGTTGGTAAATAAATAGTGACGGCGAGGCCGATGATGATGATGTCACTGAACAATGTCAGGAGGAGGAATCAGGAAGTGCCTTTAATATTCACTCGGGCACTGCAATGGAAGCATACGACAGTAGCAGTTCAGATGACTCTCGCCCTTACTGGAACACATTCAAATCCGCTCCTTACTATCAGCCTATTGACTAAGCGTTACATCTTCACTGTACATTTGTATACTGTACATGTAAAAAAAACTATGTTACATTTGTTGAATAAGAGAAACATTCTGTTCCTGTTACTGTTTAAGACTGACTGAGTTTTGTAAAAGAAGGATTGGTATGAACTAAACCACTATGAGTTAAAAAAACAAATAGTCATAACAAGAAAAAATACATTTTCAGTTATAATAACATATCATCAACTATCCGTGCACTCTTGATCGCGGCTCGTTTTAAGAAGGGCTTTCATGAAATTATCTGTCATTCAGATGTATTATAATACAGGAAAATCACATGACGGTGACTTTGATTAAACAACAAAGCCAAACTAAAACCATGGGCTGTTTTCAAAGCCATTTCAAAGTCAAGCAAATTGGAAGCGATTCCGCGTGGAGTCACTGCTCATCTCCAGCCAATCAGAGTGCTTTTTAACCGTGTGATTCAGCTTTGAGTATGCAATTCTGTTAAAATTACTTGCACGGCCATCGTATTTCAAGCAGTGCTTCATATTTCAGTAGCACAAAACCCATTTAATAGTACGCGCACATCGCCCAAACGCGCCCAGAAATTCTAACCCTCCCCTAAATGCGGGCCCAGAAAATTTTAGCCCTCCCTAAATGGGCGCCCAAAAAATCGCAGCCTCCCCCAAAATTTACCAGCCCTTCACCCAATAGTTAATGACCGCTCCCTAACTAACGTTTTGCACGCGAAAAAGAAGGGAGTTGTGGGAGCTCAATTTAAAGAAAGACCGGTTTTTTAGCTTTCTTTCACTATAAGGGGGAGGGGGGATCACAAGGGAGGTATAGGAGACTTATTAGGACTAAAAGAATTGATGATATTACAAAATCATTCTAGATATTGACGAATGTCAAAAGCAAAACAACAAGTGTAGCAAAAATGCGACTTGCACGAAAACAGACGGATCTTACAGATGCAACTGCAATACTGGCTTCTTTGGAGACGGATTCAAGTGCACAGGTATCACTGTGTTCTATCTGTGGCGTAGATGGTCTAAAGAGTTCAGATTCCTGAATCAAGTGATTGCGAGCCAATTTTTTAAGGAAGGGAAAACAAAGATGGAAAATAGCATGCCCTGTAAACGGATTTTAGGCAAACTATCAAATGAATAAAGTAGTTTTCGTATCGATTCATGGATGTACGTCATCGATATAAAGCCGTGTTTGAGGCGTCGTTTGAGGCCAAATAGTCTCATCGTAAATAATTTCCAATACCCTGAGCGGCGGAGAGCAACTGACGAGCACATGTCGTTCCCAGGGTTCTCTCCTACCCGTCCCTGCGGGTAGGAGAGAGAACCCGGGAACGAGGTTGCTGACGAGCGACTATATTCGCAGGCTTAGCAAGAAGTCGTTAAAAGTTTTTTTATATATAAAGCTAATGATCTTCTAATGGTTTATTTCTGATCGACCTCGAATAACAAAAAAGCGCCAAGCACAATCGTATCATGGCTAACATAAACTCGCAGGATAACTTCATGACTTCGCTTAGGGTAATTTCATGCAAATTATTGTTTAAGCTCGCAATCATTTTACACTGTGAACTTTATCCTTTGTTCCCTCTAGTATGTTACACCATCTTTGATTTCGAAGACCACGATTTATCAAATTGGACGCTAAGTGGGACTGCATTCAATAATCAGCCAACATACGGAGACAACCCATCAGAAAGGTTTAAAAAGGAAGGGAAAGGCAGGAATGAACCGTCAAAGCACCGAGGGGATTGGTGGATTGGTACCTTCGAAAATCGGCCCAATTCTTCCCACCCGGCCGGAGAAATACAAGGTGATAGGCCTAAAGGCTCAATGACGTCACCCGGTTTCTTAATTGATACAAACTTCCTCACATTCCTGATTGGAGCAGGCTGTAAAAATGTTCGCAAGGTTCGTGCTGAGCTTATAGTTGACGGGAAAGTGATTTTTGAAACAAAAGCTGAAAAGGGATCTAAGGATTGCATCGAAACTATGTTTGAAAAAAGCTGGAATGTGTCGGGATTCACTGGTAGCCGAGCTCAATTGCGTTTGATTGACCACTCTTCGGGAGGCTGGGGTCACATTAACTTTGATCATTTACAAGCTTGCCACAAACTACCTTAAAACAGTATAGCGGATCCTCAGCAGAATTAATCTTAAAATCAGTAAACAGTCGATTAAAAAAAAAACAAACTGACCCAGCTCTGAAACCGTAAGTTAGTTAGCCATTTCCAATGACACTGGTCACATTGCGTTGTCACGTTTGTTCTTTTCTATTCAAGTAATTTTTACCAGGACTAGTAGACTCTGATAAGAGAAAATGATTCGCATACCTTTAGAAAATCCGCTACCTCGAATTCTTTATTAATTTACAGATACGTTTTAGCCTGCGAAGTGTTTTTTATAATAAAACTTGCAATTTTTTAGTTTAAAATTATACCGTAAAATACTGAAAAATCATTGCGCGGACTTTTTTTAGATATTTTAAAATCGGATACTTATGTTGACACACCCAAAGATAAATTTAGAAAGCTGCTATGACTGATTTAAATTTAGTTCGTAATTTTGTAATCTTGCATTACATTGTTTTTCTCGTATTTTGATAGTTTTGTTTTAATTTCTTTCTTTTTTTTGTCCTAGTAAATGTGTACTTTACGTTTTCGTCTGGCTTTCTCGATAAGCTTAACTATCTGCGAGGCCGAGGATATTTAAATTTGTATTTACATAAGCGAATGAATGAATAAATGAATAAATAAACTTTAGGAATAGTGTAAGTGCTGGTACTGTATTTCAATAACATAGTTGCCGTGGTGTTAGAGCATTATAAAAAAAATAATAATAAAGAAACAATCAAACAGACCAGTAATGCAAAGAAACTTTGGGAACTGAGTCAAAGTATGGTGGTACGGTACTGTATTTTCCCTAAAATGTATTGCTGTGGCCGCGCTTGAAGCGTTAAAAGTAAACTGTGGATGATCTTCTTTTATATAATTCTTCACTCCGCAGTTCTCATATATGATTTTCATATATTCATAACTTCATCATCATCCTTTTACGGGTTTAATACGAACCAATTCAACGACCCGCTCTGAGTTGGCTTGTTAACTCAATTGTCAAAGGTTCGAATCCTGTACCAGCCTGAATTTTTTCAAGCCTTCTTTTCGCAACTGCAAAAGTTGCGTCTATAACTGCGATGATCTTCTTTCATGTAAAACTTATTTTTGTGGCGTTTCGCTGAAGCATTTGCCTGTTTGTTTTGTCCGGAAGGATCACCCTGTTTTCATAAATTTCTAGTCAATGCCCCAACCTCCTCATCTTTACATTGTAAAATTGCGCACACAACTTTACTTTGCTTCCAATTTTAAGCCAATGAAATTTGAAAACTACAGACTAGGCCCCTTTGATTATGGGCTCCATGGGCTTAATTCAAAATTTGGATTTATTCTAAAGTTCACGTGTTAATCGTCGTCACGTCATCATGATTATCATGATTACCATCACCACCACTAACAATTGCGAGGCCGGATGTTGTAGTTGCCTGTTTCGAAGGTCAGTTAGCCTGCTTCGCTTGGAAGTAGTGGGCACAAGAAAAAACGGGCGCGCGAGAAGGACCCCTCATGTGTCTCCCTCGCGCGCGCCCGTTCTCTCTATCGCCCACTACTTCCAAGCGCCTGCTACGCAGGCTAAAGGTCAGTGAAAGATCATACCATTAATAATCAGAGAGCTGGGCACAATCTCAGTGGAAGAAGCCAAAAAGCTATCTTGCGGGCCAACTGGCCATTGACTGTAACGTCAGTGTTCGCCAGAAATCTGCGGAACATCATGACACACCTTGAAGAAAACGCTTTCATTTAAACTATAGATCAGCAACAGCAGATCATTGATATCAGGCCCACTGTGATAAATACTGCTGCTCATAACATTGTCAATTCTGTCAATAAAAAGCTGAAAAGATCTCTTTGATCAAAAAACCTAAAAATCGTGGTCTCCCCATTTTTTCACCCGAGCTGTCTCTCTTTTTACATGGTGCGTCGAGCAAAACGAGCTGAAGAAAAAGAGAGACAACTTGCAGTCGAAGATTTGGTCGTTTTGTGCTCAAAAGTGATTTTCTCAGAAAAATTGGTACTTTTCTCAAAGGGTTAGTGCGACATGATCCACTATGTGTTGGATCTTTAAATCCTTTATGGCATGTGTGCTCTACACATAAGGCTTTCTGGTTTCTCTCTTAGTTCAGGGGCGGATCCAGGATTTTTTTTAGGAGGGGGTGCACTCGTCTCTTGCTCTACTTCAACACCAGTAAACCACATAGTTTTTTTTTGCAGAATACCAGTTGTATTAAAAAACCGCAGGTCATCTCGGGGGTGGGGGGGGGGGTTGGGGTGCGCACCCCCTGCACCCCCCCCCTAGATCCGCCCCTGTAGTTCAACAACTTGATCATGGGATTCCTGTTAAAAGTGCGCTTTTCAGATTATGTTTTACAAACGGATCCGAAGAGTTTTCGGAATTTCCGAGGATAGCGGCGAACCAGACAATTAACGTGAAACTGTTGCCAATCAATTCACGAGGTTCGTCCTTCGAACTTACTTCATGGGGAAGACAGAGGTGGTCATTCTTGGAAGGAGAAAAGTTATGCCTCATTTGCCTTTTTCCAAGGACAAAAACCCGAGCTTCAAAACTTTCGAAGTTCGCAGGGCGTTTGACATCGTTTTTTAAATACCCGGTAAAACGTCTCTTTGCGGGTTGCAAAGGTGGCAACAACGTTTTTCTTGTTCTTTTAGATCCCCTGAAAACAACTAGCTAAATGGCTTGCTTTCTTCACGAAATGCCTACGGGAGTGTACATGCATGCTCCCGGACTATCTTGGTTTGTAACTTGTTTCCATACCAAAAGTCATATATAAAATGCAAAATAGTGATTCTTCCAGCCCTCTAGCCAGTCCATTTTTTGTGTTAGTTAAACACTTTTATCGCATTACGGGATCTTAAATTATAATTGAAACATTGCAAACAAAAAGGCTTTTCGGACCAAAAAAATATGTCGGGCCGTACGAGTAACATTTTTGTTTGCCTTGGTTTATTTTGTTTGATTCATGCTTGTTTATTTGCGTGGGCAAATAGATTAGTAATTTTACCAATTTTTGGCCCTTTGTTCATATAACTTCACCTTGACCACATGTAATCAGAGCTGCATGTGAATTTGTAAATTAAAACGACAACAATTTGATCATCACTCGGTATGAATGAGTTGGCTTTCAAAAGTCTTTTCTTTTTCTTCCACTCTTTACACTCTTTTCCATGTAAATTCACTTTGTGAACGTTTCCAAAGAAATTTTTCGCGTTATGACCTATTTACAAGTTGGCTTATAGCAACCTTGATATATCCCTTTGCTTCTAATCCGATTTAATGGCCCACTCACCCTGCTAACAAAGCCTTTCCTTTACTTGGTCTCGATTTTTGCATACTAGAGAAAGACTCGAGTAAGCATGAATCGAGTAAGATCTTTTTTGAGCAAGTAGCTGCTTGTTGCTTGGACCCCGTTTTGAACCCAGGCCTAATGAAGCCGTGCGCTTAGTTCAGCGGGCTCAGTTATAACCACTGGATTATCAACAAACGGATACTCGCACTCGGAAAATGAGTTTGACTACACAGACAGGTCCAGAAGTTCAAGCATGGGCGAATTCAAAGGCTTGACACAATTCAGACAGAGCCTCCTTGTTCTCTTTCTCACTCAAGAAGACCGAAGAGACTCCGCTTGCAGGGTGTGGCCCACTTTGAAAGAGGAGTTTTGTTTTCAGAAAGATATTACGACACAAAAGAATCGCAAATATTAAAATTGCTCGAGAGTATCGGAAGGTACCAATCAGGTAATACTACCACTGCACTGAATTGACTGCGACGCATACAACAGTTATTTGAATTATCTAAAAGTATTCTAAAAATAACACGCGACAGTTTCCGCGTGATATCGCCTGTGTTCTCACGTTTACAATCTCTATGAATTGCCAAATAACCCATTTTATACTCTAGAGAAGTGGTACAGAAATTAGGAAACTATCTTTTACACCTAAGATTTGTAAGCATATCATGATATTTGGATGAATTTGTGGTGCACTTTTTTCTGGTTATATTCCTGTCTTTTTACAAGTGAGGTCCTTAAGGCCCGAGTCCAGTCCCCAAAGCAGATTATCCGGATATTGCAGTTCCAACGCTTCTTTGACTTGAAGTCCATGCTGCTGATCTCGAACTTCCACTACAACTTTGATCTGTCACAACAATGAAATATAAATTTTAGGCTTCTTTGTTTGTTAAATGTACACAGATTAGACTGTAACCCACTCACCTGTACGCTAAACACGCTCGACATAAGCCACGCCCGTTCATGAAAAATATCTTTTACGCTGAAATTCAATTGAGAGAATAACAGCACTTTGTTGTTGTCATTGAGATTAAAGGACACAAAACAGTGATCACCGGACAAATGTTCTTGCAATAAAAGAGGCCAGTCAAGAAAACGATTTTAAAAACAGCCGACGGCTACGGTAATCACTGTTGATTGGAAACCGGGGGGGGCTGGGGAGTCGGAAAACGGTAAAAAAAAATGACCCCCGACAAAAGGGTCAAACGGCATATTGTTGGCGGGATTGTTGATGACGTAAGAAACACGTAAGTCTTTGTCTTCCAAACTAAGTTCTGATAACTTATAGTTAAAAAATTCTTCATTAAGAGAAATCAAACTTACCTTTTTGTAACTGTCCGTAAAACGGAAACCAAACTAATACCATGGTCGACTCCTCCGTATAGGAGGATGCCGTTCATAATCAAATGAATTCGTAACAAATATAAATTATTTTCTCTTCCTAGCATTACCTGCGCGCTTTCCCCTCTCCCTCGCCCGCGCGTCTTAGCACCAATTAAGACACAAAAAAACATCCTCACTCCTACCATATCTCTGAGGCAAAGGAAATTTCAGGAAAAAAAAGCCATGCTGGGAAGGAAGTTAGAGAGAGGCTTCCGCAGAGGAGTACGGTGAACCAGTCAGAAGTGGAGGTAACAACAGGCAACCGACGCAAAGAGCGGAAAACTGTCAGCCAATCAGAAACACAGTAAAGTATTAAAGAAAGCACTTTTCAGAAAATCGCTTTTCATAAGTTAAGTTTACCTAGCTCCCATTGAAGCCAACAGCCTTGTTAGTTCTGCAATTCCTCCTGGTCTATCACTGACGGTGACGATAAATCTACAGAGCCTTCCATCGGCGGCTAAACCGCGATCAATACAGCGACCCAGCACTGTGGAGTCGATATTCCCTCCACACAGTGGAATAACTACCCTAGGAAAGACGTTTGATTTAAAACCAGATGAATAACTTGTCACTCTGAGGCACCCTCAAATTTCATTAAAAGTTTGCAAAGTGACCATTAAAGGTGGAAAACAAGTAGTAAAAGTGTTGCTTAAGCTGAAAAACCTGTTTACGCGTAGTTAAGTTTTTTCAGCAACAGTCTTTCATAACACAACAAAACGATTTTTCCCTGCGACCTTACGCTTAGCTTGAGGTTTGATTTACCAACTCACTAACAACAACTGGCCAGAATAAAAAGATTCCCCAAAACTGACACTTTAGTCCCTCGATCTTTAGTCAAGGAGAATCCTTTAGAGCGCTGTGACAAGGGTCTGGCGCCCGAAACATTTAAACTTATTCTGTAACCTTAGTTGATCATACTACTTTTCTATGTGCCACTCCTCAAACAACACACACAGAGATTAAGGTAAAACCAGAGGTCAATAAACAAACAATTCCATACATAAAATAGACAACATCGCTCACAACGCTTATTCAAATGTTTAAGACAAATCCTGAAATACTCCAGGAAAAGATAAGACCTTGGACGGGATATGAACTTGCAGTTTTTGTTGTTTGAGAAATCAGCAATATATCCTTCTAATGCAAAAGGGTGAAACGCGAGTATTAGTGTTGATACCATAATGCTCATTTTTAGCAAACCGGTTGCAGATCTAACCATGGATAGAACTACGCTGACATTAATTACTGCCAGTATCCCTCATTGATTTAATTTCGGAAACTCATTATACGATCTCTTGTACATTTACCGTAATATCATTCATCCACCTACTTTTTAGCCTGTAGCTCGGGCAACAATCCAGCAAGAACAGCAGCAAAGGCAGTCACTCCGGCGCCTTCAACGACTGCTTTCTCTTCCTCAATCAGACGCAAAATGGCGAGGGCAATGAAGTCCTCACTGAAATAACAAGGTTAATTTCGGTTTCTACGCAAGAGACATGACGACATGACTTTCCCGAGAACAAGAGATTCATAGAGTTCTAAGGAAAAAAACAATAACCACTGAGATTTTATGCTACGCTGGATTTTAGACCATACTTACTGACTTAATATAAGCCTTAACGTATTCACACCGAACAACTATACTGTACTTATCAAAAGCTCTCCCAGTGCTGGACACGCCCGGACCAGTGCCATTTCTGTCTAGACATCTGTGCACGCGAAGAACCAAACCGTTTGCAGGGCGGAAAAACCGCAAGGTTCGTAGTACAAATCTCTGGCAGTCACTACCCCTAGTATGCCGCCTTGATCATGATCCGGGCCTCAGTTGTTCAGAAGGTGGATAACGCTATTCACCGGAGGTAAAACTCTGTCGAGTGGATAGCGCAGTTGGTCTCCCTAGTGGTTTCCCTGGTGATTAATCCGGCGGATAGCGCTATCCATCTTTTGAACATATGGGGCCAGGACTGTGAGCGCCCAAAAAGTGTCGTTAATTAGTGTAAGGGCCGCCATGATGAATTAAAGTGTGTGTTTATTTTACAAACCTTTGCGGCGGTTTCCAATACTACAGAGGGGTTATCCGTCAGTAAAAGGATCACCTCTTGATCCTCCTTTATGGCTGTTTGTAAACAAAGTATCAAAGTGTATGAAAGTTGGAGTTCCTGTGAATCTTACCTGACACTTATTACTTTATCAACCATCCCTGTGGCAGTTGCAAAGGCGTTGGAGCCAACCTTGGACACACACAGCCCTACAGAGGACATGTAATCAAAGAAGTCACAATAGAGTATAAAAACGGTTTAAATCTGTGACACAACAAACTAAAATAGAAACCAATCATAGGGTTGTGCCTTAGCAGCGCCAACGGCCCCTGGTGTCTTAATTAGTTTTGTTCTTGGGCGACTAAGGAAATCTTAGTTGTTTCATAAAAATCCTATGCTAGGTGGCACCTTGGATTTCCCACGTTCAGCGCACCAGGCTCCCTTCAAGTTTTCCTACAGTACAGTCTTAAATGGGATTTTAATACTACAGAGGGAAAGAAAATAAAGACAAAAAGGCTGAAATAGTGAAGAGATGTAAATTCAGTGGTACAACTAGGGACTCTATAACCATAACCACTGCCCACCTTGTTAAGCTTTTGCTATTTGCGGGCAGACATCAAACTCACTGATTGTATCTAACACTGATCAATAGCAAAGAAAATCAATCCGCGAATTTCAATTTCACCGCTTCTTTCGTGACAGTAGAAATTATATGAAAGAGCTCAGCCTTGTGTTTTACCCAGATTGGTTCTGATTCATTATCACGTTTTCCAGATCGCGAAGCGGTACCTGCTTTCAGCGGTTTGAGCTGGTTTGGATAACGTACATACGTGACATTTTTTTTAAAAAGAATAAATGGGAAAAACTATCTGCAAACATCTAAGAAGGAAATTTGCTCAGACGTCCTAGGTTCACGCATAAATTACATTTTTTCACGGTAGTAATTCCAAAATATCTCAAAATTTCCTGCATTGAATTTTGTGAAACTTCTCTTAGCAGAACCCGGCCAATGTATACGTGCATTGTGGGGTAAAGCATTTCCAGAGAACTAACGGATAAGGGTTAAAATTCAATACAGAGCTAGCTGAAACAAGAAGTCCTTGTCGAGCGATATGTATTCAATCCCAAAATATAGGGCAGTCTATGTGTAATCGAGGTAAAACAAACATGAAGCCGTTTAGGTGTAAGAGGTTCAATGGTGGAAGGCTACCTACAAAAATACTGGTCGAACCAGTCGAACCACTTTAAAACTAGGAAGAAATTCTCAAGAGGGCGTGTCATTAAAATGAAACCTTGCTATCTCTTTTTTAGCATTTTACGATTTTGCATCAGCTTGGAACTCTTACAAAACTATCTTGGGAGCAGAAGAGGTCATGTTAAGAGATCTATACAGAAAGGACAGTGCCTTACCATCGGCTAATGTCAGAGACTGATTGGCTTCTATTTTAACTGGATGACCAGCAGCCATTGCGGCCTGAAAGCTGGCGCAGCGTTCTGATTCAACTCCCTGTAGAGAAATAGACACGATTAATGCTGGTAACTAAACGACGCTTAAATGTAATATGCAGGAAAATCCTCCTTGCTAGGACTCATCCTGATCCTGGACGAGGGCTTCTCTACACGGCACTTCTGTTCAAGTTTGTTTGCAAGAAAAGGGGATGTAGGCGCATTGAGCTTTGTAAATGCGCCATATAAGAATGTGTTATTACTATTACTATTATTATTATTTGTTTTATTTTATTATTATTATTATTATTATTATTATTCTTGTGCAAGGAAAACTTCACGACGTCCCCTCCGTAAAAACCAAAGACTCCCAGCGTCTTACCTAAGATTGTCACCTTCTTAATTTAAGCCTAAAGCCGACTTATCTTAAGATATAGAGTCTTAAATTAAGAGGGCGACCATCTTAAAATTAAGACGGGTAAGCTCTTACTTTTCTATATGATGTTTATAAACGTCTTAAATTAATATTCTCGATTTAATTTTCTTGTGTCTAAGAAAAGTTTAAGAAACACACGTCTTACCTTACGATTGTAGCATGTTATTTCAGAGGAGTGACATCTTGAACTAACGATTAAACTTAAAGTGAATTTTAATTTTAAATTTTAAGATGTTTTTGAAATAGCTTGAAATCTCCAAAAGGTTCAGTGTCATTTATTTATTATAAGAAGCAAATCGTCTTAAACCGGGGAATTCGATATAATTCACTTTTACTTATAAATATGTTTTATGATATACTTACAAGCGTCTTTTTGGAAGAGGGAAAAAAAAGGAACACGAGGTTCAAAGCATTTAGGGAAGAAGAAAGAGTTCTCGTAATCCAAACTCAAGTCTGCACAGACAACTTTGTTCGCGAAGCCATTTGTTGAAAACAAAATGCAAGGCAACTCAGATGCTATCGTGTTGGTTGGTCTTGTACTTTGGGTTGTCCGCTTATGATAAGTCTTTGTACAACCTGAGCACGTTATGAACTTGTCGTTTGTCAACAAAAACGTGACGATGGGAGTTTAGTTTTCAGAATGTTAAAATACTATGAAAAAGTAAATGTAAGCAAGGAAATTCATCACAGCACTGCGAGACAGTCCCGCAACAAGTTATACGCAAAGTTCAGGAAAACCCATACTAAAAAGTTTTTCAAAACATAATAAACTCTCAACAAATACTTTAAAATCTTTGAAGGAAATGAACTGATTAAGCATTTAAGAAGTGTTTAGGAATAAGAAAAATTGAACTTGAAAACGTTACAAGACGTTTCGATTTATCACACATCATTATCAAGGGTGAAAAATCTTAAATTTCAAAGTTGTCTAAAGAGCTGAAGTTTGAATAAAGTAGATATTCGTGCATGCTTCATAGTTATGTAGAAAGGCTTAAAAGGAATCGGATCCGATTGCACAATCAATGATGGTTTGAGTTCTTGTATAAATAGCATCCCGTAAACAATGCATTCGAAACTGTTTCTGCATTTTTTTGAGAATATTTTGTTTAAGAATATTCTTAGAATTTTACCTTTAGGCCGAATGATCTAACTTTTCTGAACCCTGTTCTGCTATAACGAGAAAATTTATTGAGGGTTCTTCTTACGATTATTTGAACATCAGGGCGTAATCCTTTGACTGCCACAGCCACACCAGCCAATAAGCCTCCACCGCCCACAGGGATCACAACCGCATCCAAATCAGGTACCTCTTCGACGATCTCCAGACCCAACGTACCCTGGCCAGAAAGGATGTTAGGATGATCGTACCTTAAAAAGAAAAATAGAACCATCTGAAAACTGCAGCTCACAGAAACGACTTCACCTTTTTACGTGTAATGTCACAAGAACTCTTGCCATAGCTCTCTGGGCCCAATTTAAACGCAGCATTTCACATGTGCCGAAGAAAATCTTTTCCTCTCGTTCATTTGCATCAGATTCGGCATACATGTATGTAAAATACGAGGTTTCAACCGAGCCTTACAATTACGTGTACTAACATTCCCAAACTAAGACAAAACAAAGGAAACCAGGCTCTGCAGTGGGGGAAAAAGACAGCCCACGCCGATTTTTTTCTACTTTTTCCCCCAGTGCGGATGAGCTTGGTCCCAGGCTAGTTATTTTCGAGTTGTCTTAAGCCTCTGCTTCGAAGTGACGCTAATGTAAAACAACTTGGCCTCGTTCTGAAAGAGAGAGTTATTTTCGAACTTGAAAATGGCCTTATAAACTCTATGCTACCGTGATGATGGTTGTGACATCAGTTACTAATAACCAAATTGGGAACTTCAGCTTTCAATTTCTTTAATAATAATTGTTCATTTGAGAAGCTACATTAAACAAACACTCCTGGCATCTGACGTCCAGGTCCAGACACTTCAAAGTCGGTCTTAAAATATTTTGCTGCGCCTCCTTTTTCATCCGATTTTTCAGCCCACTTCTCGGTGTTTAGATATAGAACGAAACGCTGCGTGTCGTTTTTGAAGTACGTTAAGTTTTGTCGTACTATGGTCGCCCCTGCACTGGTTACCATATCAAACATACGCCAGTGAAAACCTTCATTTTAACGCCATACGTTGGCAGTTATAAATGACGTTACTTAAGTTTTAAGTAAGAGGCCCCTGAGGAGATCACGCCAGTGATGAAACGAGAATATAATCATTTAACTGTTCAATTATTAAACTCACCCATTGATATATGCTAATCCATTTGCCTTTGCCATCTTCAGAGCAATTTCTTTTGACTGTAAACGCAGACAGAGCAATTAATTTACGGCATACGTTAATAGGAGACGTTTCAATTTTTTTTTCAATTTTAAAGACCAAACTGAGGCCCGAAGGGCCGAAAAAATTCCATACTGATGACGCGTCACTACCCAGATCTGGGTAGTGCTTCTGATTGGTTGAATCAAATTTCCCACGCTTCACGACCAATCAGAAGCACTACCAAGATCTGGGTAGTGACGCGTCATCAGTATGGAATTTCTGCGCTCGTTTCTCAGACGTCATTTCGCGGGGAAACCAGTGGTAACGTCGCCAAACGTCGGTTGTTTTCTCAGGCTAGACACACGTGTTCAAATGTATGAATATAACGATGAACATTCGCGGGTAAATGAACCGTCTCAGATTTTGCAGTTTTGAGCACTCAGAGACTTTTGGCGGGAAACAATAGTATTCTTAGATGTCATGTAACCCTAACGTAACCAATAAAATCGTGTACTGTTGAGGAGTTGAGGAAAACGTCACATGTATATCTGAGTGGTCGCTTACGGGAGAGTTTTTGAAGCAGTATTTGATTGAGAAACAAAACGGTTATTTAAAAATTGGTCGCTTAAAGCGGCGCTATGAGAGAGTTAAACCTTGTTATCTTCTCAAGCGTACTGATTCAAGAAAAATACCAAGAACCAACTCTTGAATTTTGAAAAGTGACAACATAACATACGTGGTCATGTACCTAAGCGGTTCCGTTGACGTCTCTTTATATTTTTAATGTACTCCAAATTTGCATAGCCACTTTCTTTTATTGAAGATATTTTTTCAATTTTATGTAGAATGATAACATATATTTCTTATCGAACTCATCGGCGTCGTTAACTATTCGGTTCTTTACACCTCAATAAGATCTGCACCATTCACGTGCACAGTAGCACCATGTTTCCTGCATGCTGAAATCTTCATGATAGGTGCGTTCAGTGGCATTACAACAGTCACAGGAACCCCAAGGTCCTTTCCATGATATGATAATGCTAAGGCGTGGTTCCCAGCCGAAGCTGCTATTACTCCTTTCTTCTTTTGCTCCTGAAAAAAAAACGCTGCTGTAAAGTAACAGAAAAGCAGGACTTTCTGACATTGTGCATCGGCAATAGTAAAAATATTGTTAAGCTAGAGGTTGGAATGAGTACAGTATTAAACTTTAAGTCTCAAGGTGATGTTACACGGGAAGATGCGCAATGACGATTTTTAGCGCAACACTGGGTTCAAATGTTGGAACAGTATTGCAGCCATTCGAAACAATGTAACAACAATGTTGTAACGCCGTGTTATTTAAAAATCGTTGTTGCTAGTCCGGCGTCCCGTGTAACATCACCTTTAGTGGAAAACCAGGAGGTGGGGAGTTCCAGAAGTGCGGGAAGTAGGAGAAATAGGAGGGAATTATGCAATAGTGCTTAATATTTCGCAGAATAAATTGGGCTAAAGGGAGAGAGCCAAGAAAAAAAGGGGTGGGAGCCGTGAGTGCAAGGTGTAGGTGGTGGGAAGTTTGGACCCTAAGTCCCCCACTGTTAACTTATCACTGGGTATAATACCTTCTGGCTGGAGATCTAGATTACCACTGCCCAGAAAGGGATGTTAACTTTGTATGGAAACGCTTCAAATTGGTCATGAAAGGGTATCAATAAACAATGTCATGTGTGCTAAGATAAATTTATATAATGCGAGCTTTCCACGTGACCGGTATCGGTAGGTATCCACATTAAAACCGAGTGCCACTGTATTTTTTCCCGTATAGGCGATAATAACAAGCAAGAGAAATGTACAAGCTCCAAAAGCACACCTTCAAAGAAATTGCTTCCCATGAGGAAAAGAAACATGCAGTTGGCAATCTTTACATGGTTTCCCAATCCTCTCATTCTTTTTATCCTTGAGGAAAATACAGGTGTAAGGATTCATCCATTGTCTATGAGGAAACAGACATGGAAAAATACATTTCCACTTACACCTACTTTAGACAACAAGAGCAGTGTGTTCCTAGCACCTCTTTCTTTGAAGCTAAAATGAATAAATCACATAAAAATGATATATCAGAAAACTAAAAAGAACACATCACAAATACTCGCCAGTTACAGTATTAAATCTATTCATTCGTGGAGGTTTTGCGAGAAAACACTTTTTAGTAGCCTGTAGCCTACAGTACAGTGCAGATCATACAGTGTATCTCTGTTTTCCTTTACTTCACAAAACCACCAACCATTAATGATATTGTCATGGTCATTGCAATTATCATCACCTTTTAAAGCAATCACATGACATATTGATCAAAGTCAAAACAAACGATAAAATTATAGTAAGTTAGTTACTGCTCTTACACAAATCCAAATGTACAAAATTGCTCTGTTTATCAAAAGGATATTTACAACACATGTAATTACACAATACCATGGCCGATTGCAGCTCCTAGTCTAGAACACTTTAATTTTGGCTACATGCGTTTGCACCATTGAATATTTATAAAAGTCTTGTTTTACAGCATATTTAAAGCAGATAGTGTTGGTATAGAATTAAGTGACATAAAATGGGGACTGAATCAGTGGTATGAAGAATCAAATTTTCTGGTCCATAGTCTGAGTTTACAATGATGATGATGATGAAACTCTATTAAGGTGTCTAAAGAAGCCTCCTGGCTTAGGTTAAAAACCTATGCTAATTAGGGGACACAAAATAATTAAATGTAAATTAAAGTAAAAAATATTTAAATATAAGCGCAGGTTTAAAAGAAAAAAAATGACATTAACAATATTTACAGTATGACAAATGTGTCTATGAATTGCAGAGATGCATGACAACACGTGCATCCATTATCCATTAGTGTAACTATATCTAATGTACATATTTTGTTTTTGAAACATTTTAAGGTGGTAACTTCTCTCAAGTCTGGGGATAATTTTCCCCAGAGACTGGGCACCAAGTGGTGGAGGGAGTGCTTGCCATATGTTACTGTGTTGTACCTGGCAGCGGAGAAATCAGACTGCCTTAAGTTATACTTGGATCTATATTGTCTGAGTTTACAATATTACGAAAGGGATTTTTTTCAAAAAGCAAAACGTGATTTGGTATAGGCTTCAATGATTAAGGGTTTCACAGTCTGAATGACATACCCAGTTATGGGTCGTGAAGAAAGTGAATTAAAAATATCAGTACTAAGTAAAACTATACTATTAAGGTATATGCTGTCGTTAATTTTTTAATCTCAGGTAATTTCGTTGTTGTTTTTTTTTGTTGTTGTTTCAACTTCACTAGCATACATTACCATACCCAAAAACAAAAGAAAAAGAAAAATTACCTGAAATAAAATTAACAACAACATGATTATACAAATTATGTAATGACTGCATACAGACCTTCCAGTATGCTGAAGGTATTCCTTCTTGAAGTACAAATCCATATTTAGAGTCTCTGACATGCTGGATCTCTGAAAAGAAAGCAAAACCGATTAGTGTGCATGTTTTAGGTGGTTTCTCCAGTTTGCAAGGAGAAAGTGAACCTTAGTCAATGAGGGTTGGCATTAAAAAACTGTAGGAAAGATGATACAATTATTTCAATGTTCAGTAATTACATAGCCTTCAAAAGCGTTAAAAATCAATTTTGTCCGAAAATTGAGTCATGAAGTTCTAAACATCAAGATAAAAATAATTAATGTCAAGAACTTCTCGATAAAAAGCCACACTAGCCGATAACAATTGCCCTCTATATTCATAATCATCGGACGTCATACTGTATGTTTCACGGTTTTTAATCCTCCAATCCTGTACTCCTTGAGAAGTAACAAATCTGATTCAGTTTGACTATTTTCCAGAGGTGTTTGCGGTTTCTTTATAAACTTCATGAAAAGTCCTGAATTTTCAGAAAAGGCAAGATATTAACACACACTTCACACTTACCCCTGGTTAGACATTTAACTTTGCAGGATGTACTGGCCAGGGGTGTATATCCAACAAGACTTTCATTTATTTAGTTGATCACTCATCCAAGTAGCTGTGTTTATTGGCCAGTTTATTAAGGACTGCCCTTTTTCTGTAGGAAATTTGGCATGGGATTTTTTAAGGGTTAATTTTTGTTCCTGGGATTTTTCGAAGGTTTTGTTGGAAGCCCTGGGTCAGGCTGTTCAAAGCAGGGTTAAGTTAACCCAGGGTTAGTGCGAAATTTGATGTCAGATATGAAAGCTTAAAAGGCAAATTCAGTTTCATTCTAAGACTTCTTGCCTGAGAGCAGTTTTTTAAGGTCTTCCTAGAGTTCATTAAGACCTCTGATAAAATTCATCTTCACAAATTAGGGGTGGTCCACATGGTTAGTCCATGGACGGGGTCCAAGAAGGGGTCCATGGATAGGGGGTCCATGTTTTGTATAGGTCCCTGTTAATGCAACCTGACCTTATTATTACGACCAGGATTTTATGGCCCAAAGGTGGTCACATTAACTCGGATGTAGCTAAGGAAAAGATAAGCCGGCTTTTTTAATTGTCAAACCGACTGTTTTACTTTGCTGCATCTTCAAAATTACCCCGGCCTTGTCTTTGTTTTCCAGAGCAATTTGATCCGGTGGTAAGCTCTTTTTCAGCCGATGAAATTAGCCGGCAGCCGCCTCTGTTTCACGACACTTTACCCATCACCCACAACCCACAACTATTTATTAGCCCCCCACCCCCACTCCCCTCCAAATGGGTTCCTATTCATTTAACTGGTACGAAAGGTTTGGAAATTAATTATAGAAGTCGTTTGTTTGTTTTGTTTTTAACATACTGTGACGTCTATGTATGGAACGTGGCAAATCTTCATGATTGTTATTAGTAATGCTCTAACAATATTAAAAATAACACGTTTTTACCCAAATCGTTAACTTTCCGATCTGCCAAAAGGGTAGTCACTAAATACAACGGAAATTGATGTTATTATAATCAGGCAGATTATAATGTTTATTCCCGGGGCATAAATATGAGCTACCGGAGAACGCTTCCGTCCGACGTTACAAACACTGATCCCTAAGAACATTCAGCCATGATGTTGTAAAATTATAGCTAGTTTTCTACAGATATTTACCTCACACGGTGTTTTTTTAATTCCTTTTCGTATCCTATACGCTGCAGCACTGACATCTTCAAAACCGACCAAGATGGGTTCGTCTGATTCGCCGGTCACTGGGTTTAAAAGTGCCAACTTGTTTACTAAGCCAGAACCCACTCGAACCAAGTTCGAAGGTGACGAGGGCTTCTTTTGCTCTTTATCTGTCATGGCGGCTATTTTCTTACCGAAACAGGATTGTGGAAATATCTTGTCTAACACATACTTAATCAAATTTCGTATTATTTGCATAAAGTTTTTGTGTATAATATAAATGCAAAATCCACTCAGGCGCGACAGAGTTATAAACCACGCGCGGAGGGCGCGACGCTCCCGCGCAACTTTCAGTTTCGGATTTGGGATAATAAGGAGAAGGACTGGGGCGGGGAAAAAGTACACAACAATGCTTTGTATTTCACAATTGAAAGAGGGCTGAAGGAATGAAGCCAAGAAAAAATAATGGGGCAAGAGCCAGAAATGCTAGTTTATACCAGGGTGATGGGCTCCCGTAGGTACCCTGGAATGAAGCTTGGCACCCCCATCTCCATCCCACCTTAAAGAGGGTGTGCCATCATTCATTTTAAAGTTCCCCCACCCCTCTTAAAATATCCTTTGTACAAGGGGGCTGGTCGTTTATTACCCGTGGGGGGCGGGGGGGCGGGGTTGATGTCATGGCAGCCGGCAGCCATTGTGCTTGGGGGATCAATTTCAAAATCTTGAATGTTTTGGGGGGGGCTTTATTTTCAAATAAGCTGGAGCAATACCTGGAGAGTCATTGTAATAAATTTCATGAAAGTAGTACAAAGCACTTGTCAGTGTGAATTGAAATTGAATGCAACATTGTCTGTAAATAGCTAGTAAACACTGATCTACCATATGCATAGATAAACTATGTGGTGAACACTTCGGCATGATTTCTAGCCTGCAAAACAGGTGTAATATTTTTGCATTTTTCAGGCGAGAGAGGCAAGCACTTGCCCTGAAAAATTAAGGCCAAAAAAAATAATAGGTAATAACACTTATTCTGCAAGCTACACAGTTTGTAGCTAGTAGTTTTGATTTGTGAAAAATAGTTTTTTATTTTCAGTAGCAGTTTCTAATGGTAAGGGGGAGTCACTTTCACAATAACATTTATTGGGGGGATCAATCATTTCTGAAACAATTAAGCAAGGGTGAATTGGAGAGTTGGATTAAAAATCTTCTTAGCTTTCTCAAAATGGCTGCACCCTACTCCCACCCCCACCCCCCCAAAGGAATATCATTTTTCAAAACAACAAGCAGTATCTTCAAAGTTAAAGATCATGGCATTCTGTAGAGAAGTGATGTTGAATTTGGGACCGTGATAGACAGTGTAATAAAAATTAACTCAAAGGATCGAATAAAGGGGAAAATATCCCAATTTTTCCAAGGTGGATGAACTTGGATATGCAAATACAGAAGAACCCTTGTAACTTGAACTTTGAAGCGAAATAGGTAATGTAACATCAACAGCAGAAACATCACTTTAGTATGAAACAAACAAACAGCAAGAGCAGCATTACTGGTCCACAACCAGTAGTCACCTTCATATCTCAGACAGCACTTTTCTTCAACACGTTTTTAAAATGAAGCCAAAGGTTAACTAAGTGTATCAAGCACTTGATGGCTGCTTAACGGAGGTGATAACAATAAGAGAACTCTCAGCTAGATGGCCAGAAGGTCACAGGTTGCAGTGGCTTGATAGAAGTGACCATTTAATAGAGGCTTAATTTACAATTCTTTCCTAAATTCATTACGGCACGGGACTTGCAGGTACATTCAGAGTACCATATACATTTTAACGTAAAAGTTGATATTGCTCATTTATGTAGCATCTGGATTGTCCTCACACTTTCTCAGCTCCTTCTCAAGTAATTCCTCATTCACTCTGTGCTTCATTAAAAATGTTCCATTTAAGTGAAACACTGGAATTTCATATTTATACTTTGAAAACCATGCTTCGTTGCCCTTTTCTGTGATATCCACTTCCTCAAAATGAAACTGAAAACAAAAAAACAATGACCAGTTTTAACCAAACATTAGCACATTTTTTAAAAGAAGAGGAACTGAATAACAGAAGTCAGCCCTTACAGAGCAAGTGAGACTCATTTTAGCAAATGGCACTCTCCCTTATTTGGTCTAGTGCAGGGCTGGGGATGAGTGGTCTACATTTGTGGAACCAGCAGTTTTTTTGGGGGGGGGGGGTCCAAAAAAATATTAATTTCGTGATGCTAGTTTAAAAAAATTTCTTTAATTCTATGCTGAAACAAAGGGAATCAGGGTTAAAGAAATAAGAGCTGTAATATAATATGTCTTAAAGAGAGTGGCAAAATGAACTAGTGCTGTCTTAAAGTTGGTCAGGTTTTGAAAAGCCTCAGCAGGATTGGGATTCACTGACTGACTGATTGATTGATGATTTATTGATTGATTGATGAACAGACCCTGCGCTTGAAACTTTCTAGTACTGCCTTGGCATCATCACAGAGTGGACAGACCTGCTAAAGACAATAAACAACTGGAATAAGAATAACTTTGCTTCTCATCAGTAAATCCTCTATGAACAGGTGGCTAGTTCAGTCTCAAACCTTATATTGATTTATGTATTCAGCCGGAAAGTAGAGTTCTACAAGTAAGGAGTGTATACCTGCCAACTTTTTCTGAGATATAAGCGTCAGATTTTTATCCTGGGAGTGCTGGGATTTTTGAAGACGACACGATCATTCCCGAAGAAGTCCGAAGGCTTCCGAAGACGTCCGAAGTCTTCCGAAGACGTCCGAAGTCTGCCGAAGTCTGCCAAAGGCGAGCTCGCTCCCAGTGCTTTTCACTTCAAAAATCAGAGGTCACGAGGAAGGTATTGCCATTTATTCATTTTACACATGGTTTTCGTTCCTTACATGGGTCTGAGTTAACGTATTTTTGGAAATTGTGTCAAGCAGGACGGCAACAACTCACATTTTTCAATCAGGCGTGAGAAATTGGCGCGCAGGCGTGAGCCGGCGTGAGATCGAAGTTTTCAACCCGCAGGCGTGAGAGTTGGCAGGTATAGGAGTGAAATGTTTCATCTATGCATCTAATATATCAGCCAATATAGAATGTTCATATTTGTTCAAGAAAGGGTCTTTATGAACATTTTCCAATTTTAAATTTTTTTCCAGAGATGAGCAGCATCTCTGAGACACAAAAAGCATTTAGATGTTGTGGAGTGAAAATGTATTAAAACCCGGATTGAAAATTGTGCTGTTAACTTATACATTATAGGCTATACTTACAAATTTTTCATATACAAATTTCAGCTAGTGTTACCTTGGTATACAACGTTAGGATCGGAAGTGAAGGTTTAGTTGAAGACAATCTTAACTCAGCACGACCTAAAGCCTTAGGCTGTAACTTGCCAGCTATGGACACTGAAAATTTCCATACTTTCGAACCCATTTTAGTTCATTTTGCACCTCTCAATTGCAGGGAAGGAATGAAAGAGTCCTGGGTGGGTAAGCCTGTGGTATAAGCCGCTGGTTTTCTTTCACTGTACTGTGGGCTCGAACCTAGAACGTCGTCACGGTAGGGCTGAAAATTTTTACCAAAACAAGTAATTCTACGAGAGTTAAGTATGTGAAGAAACAATACTGTATTAAGACGGAATCCATCAGCAAATTGGGTAACTCAGTGGACAAAAACCTTGTACCAGAATAGATTAAACAATACTCCATTCTCTTTTACATTACAGATAACTACCGGTAATTGCATCTAAGAATGCGATATTGTTTAAATTTTTCTGGTACAAGGTTTTTGTCCGCTGAAAATCAAAATTACCCAGTTTCCTGATGGGCTCCGTCTCAATTCAAATGATCGGGAAAAGTATTTCATAACATACAGAATTTTCAAGTTTGATCGTCCGTCACTGTCAACAACAACACTCCTATTCAGGACTACGGTCACCCGGACGATCAAACTCAACCTACTTTTGAAATGACTCCTGGGTTCAAACCTTTCACAGTTATACAGAATTTTGCATTCTTTTACATCACGCTCACCCGCGCTTCGGATAGTCCACCAGTGGAGCCAAACCCATATTCGCCACATGAAGTAGCTCCCTTCCCCCCACCCCTTACTGAATATACGAAAGAGAATGAGGACATGGCACGGTCGGATATTTAAGATGCGGCTACTGGTCCGTGACACAGCGACAGAACTGGGGCTTACAACAAAACGGTCAAACGAAAAATAGAGGGACCGCAGTCAGGACAAATCAGTGTTAAGATAATTAAAAACAATGTGTGGGTAATTACAAAAAAATGAGAATATGCACTAGCCGCCTAAGTGGCAGGCGTTCGTAAGGGAATGGGAAGGCAATTTGGGCACGAGACCGTACGCGAGAGAGAAGGAAGCTTCTCACGCGCCCAGAATCCCTTTTCCCTTCCCTTTCAAACACCTGACACTCAGGCTATGAGCTAGACAAGGCTAATGTTGCTAACAAAGTCTATTGTTCTCTCTCATCAGAGCATTAGTTTCGTCTGTGGGGTTCGCCGTTTGACCCTGACCATAATCTACTCCATGCTAACCTCCTTTTTTACTCTTGTGCTGATCAGCTCTTCCCGCTTTGCATTTCTTCTGATTTCCTCGCTACTCTCTTCTATCCTGGTACATTTTGAACATCCTGCTTAACTTAACTTTATAAAAACGTATTGCAAAAGGTGCGCTACTTTTATCTTATGAGGAAAGCCTTTCACGTTGGAGACGACGGACCATTAGAAATAGTTTGGAAAAAAATCACGCACACTCAGAGACCACCAAATTAAACTCTTTGGTTAGTTTTATTTTTCAAGGCGTAATTGGTTACATTTACTCTTCGTCGTCATAAGAATATAATTATTTTGTCACAATAGCGCGGCAACCTACAGATACCCTATATTATGCAAAAATAACTATCTAATCATGTTAGAGACAGACCATGGGTATTTTGAGCGTGGCTTGGATTTTTAGAGAGATGCTGCGATTTCAAAGGAAGGTAACGGCGAGTTTCGCTGCACGAATCGAAAGACGCAACATTTTTTAATTAAGGTATAATATATGTGGCGGATCCAAACCTTCAGATAAGGGGGGCACGGTCATCCAGACCCTGAGATAAGGGCGGCCCGGCCTCAAGGAAAAATTTTTTTTTGGCCTTTTGGGCCTCAGTTTGGTCTAAAAATAAGTGGGGGCCTCCCCTCGATCCGCCAGTGCTTCAATAAAGGAACTCGGCTCATGAAACGGTTTTGTTTTTATTTTTTGTTACCAGTTTTCTTGTTAATTAACTATTTCATTCTTTATTTGTTATTGAAAACGTTGTTTTCTTTTCCCTCGAACAAAAAGTGCCTAAATGAATTACTATATTTTACAATTTTTATCATTTTGAAAATGTGTATGCCCTGTAAAGCAGTGCGAGGCGACTGCTTAAATCTGCTGCAAACCCATCATCCATCATTCCCACTGGTAAGCTGTTAAATACGACCTGTGAGTGAAGTGGTCAGTCACAGGGATAACTAACACCAGACAATTTTATTGAGAAACTTTGAGTGTCTCGTAAGTTGTTTTAAATAGCAAATAATTACCATAACTTAGCAATTTCTGATGCGCTCATTGGTCAAGATGGACGATGAGAGTATTGATAATATATATGTTGAAGTCTCTTGTTTGTGACCATTTAAGAAACTTGGCTGAAATAGGTTATGTAAAACATTCAGTGTTATTTTTAAAAATAAATACGCCACAATTTTCCTTGCCTTTACAAAGATGAGATCAAAATGTTCAAAACGCTGCAGTGACACAACTACTCACCCGGTTTTTCTTGACTTAGATCCTAAGGGATCTAGACTTTGAATCTTACTCTTAAAAGAAGGATAGTAAATGGTGCATGTAAAACCCAGGACTTGCAGTGATGTCCTGACCTTGAGACACAAGACCTCTAGAGCATATGGGTGAACAATGAGGACAGAGTGAAGGCAGGAGCATACCTCCTTCCTTCACTTTCCCCTCCATATCATTGCCCAAATGCTTTATTTTCCCTCTCCCCAGCCTCCCTAATACGCAAAAAATCATCTGTGTGTGGAGGAGAGTGAATATAGTATTGTAAAGGTGAAGAGGATTAGTAATTATATTGTTATATAGCTGGACAATGTTGACAGTTGACAGTTGAATGTTGAATGTTGACCAACGACTGCCATTAAAGTGAGGTTTAATGAATTTTCAGCTTCAAAATTTCCAGCTATAATATAAATCACACTAGTTTCTCAGGAAACAGTTAATTTTGTTTCCCTCAATCTCATTGGACCAGTCATTAAGTGTTCAATAATCACTTGACGACTTTGCAGTCTAAATCTGCAGTAACAAGCCACCTGCTGTGATATGATCTCCACCACCTCCAGTCTGCAGGACCTGAGTACAGACTAGCACTGGTGCCACACAGATTTCATAATCATGCTCCTCCCAGCATGACACAGGTGAACTGGGATTGAATTGAACTCTGGGACTGCCGGGTACAACACTTTTGGAGAATGAATCATCCATGAATAGTTTTGACTTCTTGGGGTCGATTTCCTCAGAGCCACAGACATGCCTTGTGGCTGTCAATGAAGCCTTTGCAACAGCTGCTTGAGTATTCTTCCAGTTTGATCCTTTAGTAGTTAGAATGGCTTGAAATGCTAGAGTATGTATATGTAATCTTGTCAGCTCTCTGATCTTTTTTCCATTCTTGTAATTTTCTTTAGAAACTTTGTACACATCTCTCATCAAATCAAGTACAGTAGCGACTCTGGGTTTCTGGCTTGATACCATGGTAATATTTCCATAAAGTAGTTTACTCCATAAATTCGGCAATTCTTGTTCATTCATTCCCATGGAACCTGCATATGGTATTACATGCTGCAACAGTTCATCAAAAAATGTTTCTTGATGAAATGGTGCCATTTCAAAATGAATAGGGACTTGAGATTTGTCAAGAAAAGATGACATCCTTTTCAACATTTCATTGCTTTCCCCAGGATGGAATCCTGGAAAGTTGTCTAGCATATGAAGCCCTGCAACTACCAAAATGGATGGTGAAAACTGCTGAACCTTCTCTTGAAACTTGTTCAGTGATTTTAGGTAAGGATTATGTTCATCACTGTGTATAACCAATCTATTAGCTCTCTGTGACTCATATGTTCCCCATGGCAAGTGTGCAAGATATTCTAGTATAAGGTGGATATCATCAATGTCAACATTGTCTCCGATGGCAGACATGTTATCTGGCAGCATGTTTATCAATTCTGCCGAGGAATCAGCTGCAGCAAGGACATGGCATCCCTCTTTAACAAGTCTTTTACCGATCTGCAACCCACTCCCTCCTACAAGCTTACGTGTTCCTTCTAGAGTCAAGGCTTTGACCACCATCTTGTGAAAAAGTTCCTTATCTTTCATGTAGCGTCTGCCAGAAATGAAAACAGTACAAATATTTAGCCATAAAAAGAAATATGGATGGCAAGATTACATTGTTGCTCAGTGATAACTCATTCATCTTTAGCCTGTGAATACAGCAATCTCTCCTTGCCCCGTGCCACTAGGGACATTTTGAGGGAGAGACATCTGCAAAAATTCCATACATATCAACATTTTATTGATTAATCGAAAGAAATTGATGGTTACAACTTTTTTCACTGTTAGCATCATTGATTTTCACAATTTATCATTATTTAATAACAATTTCAATGCCATCAAGGATCCCACCATCCGTCTCTAAATAAGGAGGAAAACTGGCATTTGTTTGAAAGACTTGTGTTCAGCTATTGATCAGTGATATCATACGTTTTTATTTGCTTTTCCATTTACTTTCAATTTGCACTTCACTGATTTCTGATCAGCACTAGCTCTCTTCAACCCCATTTTTGATTTGATAATGTTAACCTTTCTTTGAACCGTTGAATGGAATTAATATACTAATTATTGCTACAACTTGTCCATCCAAAGCAACAAAAATAGAAACCTTATGTTCTTGAAACATTAAGCCATTCTTTGCCATGGACACCCATTGAAAAACATTGACAGATATTTTGTGCCAATAAAATTCAACAGGTAGCTTTGATTAAAATAGATAACATTGGCCAAATCAACAACATTATTGGTCACAACAGTTAATTAATTTTTCCTCCATTCAATGTTATCAATTTTTGGGTAACACACACTCTTCATCTGTTTACAGGTCCTGACATCCATTCACTGCCGAACTTAAGACTTTCACTCGACTTGTCATATATCTCAAGTTAAAACTGGAAATATTGTAAAAAGAAAGCCATATGCCAGATCAATGTGTCAAGCAAAATTCTGCAAAAAGTTGTTATTAAATGGTGGGAGATGTAACTGCCACGACATGACATCTTCCAGTTGTTCCAAGAATGTACATTCAAAAGTGAGCTTTAGATTCAAGGTGGAGAATGAGCACTACTAGGAGGAAATTGAACTTAAAGTTGTTTCGCATATTCTAAAAAAATAGACACCCGGAAAGCTTCATTGTATTTTTGGAGGTCAAGCCCTAACCTGATTGCAAAATGAGAAAACCTCTAACATTAATTTTGATAACTTGCTACCATTACAATAACATTCTTGATAAAACTCATAGTAGAATGATGGCCCCTGGTTCATAGAGTGCCTGAGAAGAGCTTGTCCTCATAGTTGTGTATGTCTTAGAATCTAAAGCTCTCCAATATCTCCCCACATAAGAATATTAGTTTGTTTTTATAATATTTGATTACTTTTTTTTTCATTTTCCTTGGAAGTGTGCAAAAACTTACGGTCAAATATGAAAGAAAAACTGACATTTCTGATAAATAGGCATTGAAATGATGGCATGAGACTGACCAACCATCTCACACCAATGATCTTACCTGTGAATCTTAGGAATTTAAAGATGAAGCTGCCAAAAATAGTATTCCACCCTAATTCAAGTCATTAGTCCCTTTTACTGTGAATTTTAGAGGGAGTCAAATGGGGCCATTAGGGGGTCAACAACAGGTCAGCTGACTAGGGGTAAGTGTCTTGTTGGAACCCCTTATAATATCTTGACGTCACCACTCAAACTGTCCAGGAATCGAAATTTATCAAACTCAACCAAACTTAATTCAAAAATTTAGCACAATTGAACCTATAAATTTGCCTAACAGTTCCATTAAGTTTGATTTCCGAAAACTCAGTGGAATCCAGTGAAACTTAATCGAATGTTCTACATCATTATTCAAAATAAAGAATATTTTTTTTCAGATGCATAGAATCAGGAAAGCAGCATAGAAATTAGCAAAGACTCAACAGAGAATCAGGTGGAACATCTGTATCTTTACCAAAAAATTATGTACAATCCACTACAATTTTGTACAGTTATCACCCTATAGAGTCAACTTACCAAAAAGTCATGCACGTAACAACTGAGCCAGGCATTGCAATGAACTGAATTACTTAACAACAACTGATTGTTCCCATCAAATTAGCGACCTTTTAATTGTCACAAGAAAGCTTAGTGGACGTACGTAAGATTCTTACTAGGGAAGAATTGATGCCATGCCCAGGCTAACGGAATTATGTATCTTGACAAACTCTTACAACATGAAGCCAATGGCTGAAAATACTTTGTAAGTAAATGCAAAAATCTGACTTAAAAAAGATTGACTGCCTGTTTTTGGCATACTTTCTAAATGCTTCAGCTGATCCTTTTCTGGATTTCAAGTGATTTACTAAGATATCGGAACAATTTGAGCAAGTAAAGCAAATTTTGTTTGAACTAATTTTGTTTGACATTAGTAAAATGACTTAAGGCGTTGTAAGCGAACAGGATGTCCATTAATTTTTGCAAGATGACTTATTGGCCAAACAACCTTTTACCTGTATAACATCCCACAGCTTTTTTAATCAAATGTATGGTCAACTCTGACCACCAAACCTAACTGAACTCAATCCCATCAAAGTTCAATTGCTTTAACTTTTTTGTGAGAGTTAGATTGTGCTCAATTACCGAACTTTATTGAATTTTTTCAATGAAGTTTTATTAAGCTCAATACATTGAATAAAACTTTTTATTTGGTTCAAGAAGTAACGTCAGGGTAATATGCATAATTCTCTATGTTCAAATCCCCCATAATACACCCTCTGTTTGCCCCTCAAATTTTGCAGAAACCATTGTTTTCAAATGCTACTGGGAGTCATTTTCCAAAGAGCATTTGAAGACAATAACTCATGCCAAATTTGGGGGGCAAACAGAGTGTACTATGAGGGACTCAAAAATAGTTAATAGGCCATTATGGATGGAAGCGAGGCTGGAGGTGACCTTGTTTTGATACAAACCTTCCTCCTTTATTATGTAAATCAAGTTGTTCTTATGCTAACTAGTATTTTTTATGGACAATTTCCATAGCCAAGCAAAGGAGGTTTTTATCAAAACAAGGTCAACCTCAACCTCAAATTCACTTGAAGGCTAGGGTGCTTAGTCTACAACTGTAAAATGGACTACTGACCCAGGAACTGTGCAGAATTATGCATCAGTCAATTCCAGCTGTGCCCAGTCCCCCCCTCCCTGGCTGGCCCCCCGGGAATTAGAATTTTTTTGGCCTTGGATGGCAAATTCCCGGGTGTGGGGATTCTTGAGCTGGCAAAAAGTAACCTGGCCTTCGCCGAAGGCGGACGTGTTCTTGCTAGCTCCTTTAGATGAAATTCAAAACTTGTAAAATAATGTAATCAACGAAGGCTGCTTGGCTTTCATTCGCTTAAATAACATGGGAAAAGAAGACGCCCGAGCCGATAGTCGTAAACGGTTAAGGGAAAGCGGCTCACAGACTGACGGGGAAGATGCGTTCGACGAAGCCGACGGCCATTGTCGTGGGGCTTTTGCCAAACTAGATGAAGTCAGTGAAAAGCTCGACAAAGCGCTAACAAGACTCGGCGAGTTAGAGGCTATGCAAGATAGAGTGGCAGAATTGGAAAAAGAAAATAAAAATTTACAAGAAAGCCTGAACACCGCTCAAGCCGACATCGACGACCTAAATTCGTCTTCAACCACCACGTGTGCAACACTGGAAACCCACGCAAAGAATCTGGAAGATCTCAGTGCTAAAATAAAACATCTTGAGTGCCGCAACATCAAGTTAGAAGCATACACAAGACGTGAAAATCTAAAAGTGTTTAATATTCCAGAAGGAAGAGGTGAGTCAACTTCTGCTGAAGATCAATTGAAAAAAGTGATGCGCGATAAACTTAAGATCCCAGAGGAAGATATCGAACAGATCCATTTTGAACGCGTTCACCGCATCCCTACTAAGAAAAATACCAGTCAAGGACAGAACTCCAAACCTAGGCCTATTATAGCTAAATTTAGCTTCTTTCAAGACAAGGAGTATGTTTGGTCTTTTGTTAAAAACTTGAAAAACACTAACATTTCAATCGCGAATGATTTCCCCCGGGAAATTGATGAGATACAGAAAACGTTATATCCCATCTTGAAAAAGGCCAAACAGAGAAAGCAAACAGCCTATTTCAAAGTTGATAAGCTAATTATAAACGGGCAAATCTACAGAGGTGAAGAAACAACCAATCTCCCATACTACGGTCTCATTATGGACACAAGAAACAGCGGAAACTAAAGCCAAAGCGGTCCCAGCGCGACAGCACATCAATAGTTAAGTTTAGTTCAAGGTTTATGTGTGTAATAAGTGTTAAACTATTTAACCCTCCTTGTTTAATTAGAAATGTGAATGCTCTGGAAACTTCTTACTTGATATGTTACTGTATGTTTTTCTGTAGATTAATAATTTATTTTAGGGCGAATATTATCGTTTATGTGCACTATATTTTCTTGCACTCTGCTATACCATCGATTTCATTTTTATTTTATATGACTTCTTCTATAATACCACTTCCCCGATTCAGCTCTAATGACCGATCATTCTCTTAATCTACTATCTCTCAATGCGAGGGGACTAAGCAATTTCAGAAAAAGGCGAACGATTTTCACGTGGTGTCGAAAACGAAACTCGGATATAATATTCCTGCAAGAAACTCATTCGACATTGTCAACACAGTTAAATTGGAAAAACGAATGGGGTGCAGAACTTATTTGCTCCCACGGGAGCTCAAACTCGAGGTGTTGCAATCTTAATCAAAAAGGTCTTGATTGCGTTATTCACTCTCAAATTGTAGATACATCGGGAGGTATATCGTTGTTAAAGCCGCTATCAAAGATAAAATGTATGTTCTTGTAAACATTTATGCACCAAACAAAGACGAAGACATCATTAAATTCCTCAAAAATGTGTTATCTAAGCTGCAGACCGAAAATTTAGATTCAGAAGAAAATATTGTGATTGGAGGTGATTTCAATTGTCCTCTGAATCCTACATTGGACAAAAAAGGTGGCATAATGACGCCTAGGAAATCTGTGATAAATTTCATGAACGATGTCCAAAGTCAACTAGATCTTGTAGATATATGGAGAGTTCAAAACCCGCAAACTAAAAGTTTTACCTGGAGTCAACGATCTCCGCCGATATTTTGTCGCCTTGATTATTGGTTGATTTCTAACAATTTACATGACTGGGTCAAAGCCACGAATATAATCCCCGCCATTAGAACTGACCATTCTGCTATCTATTTAGAATTTGGGAACGTGGACAAAGAGGCTAAGGGTCCTGGGTTCTGGAAGATGAACACCTCCATATTGGAGGATGATGAGTACATTGATGACCTTACAAAAATGGTACCAATTTGGATCACGGAAGGCCGAAAAGAACTTTCCGACCACCGTAACATCTGGGACTGGATAAAATATAACATAAGAGCGCATGCTATAAAATATTCCAAAAAGAAGGCAAAGGAGAGAAACGAAAGAGGATTAAAACTTGAAAAAGAATATACTGAAGCGAAACAGGCTTTCGAAACGAACCCCAATGATTTGAATGGCAACAATTTAAATGCGGCTAAGGATAAGCTCGAATCATTTTATGATGAAAAAGTCAACGGAATAATAATCCGCGCCCGAGCACGTTGGCATGAACACGGCGAGAAAAGTACCAAATATTTTCTAAACTTAGAAAAAAGAAATCATGTAAAAAAGCATATAAGGAAACTAGTAATCAGCGGCGTCGTAAAGACAGATCCCTATGACATTCTTCAAGAACAAAAACGTTTTTATCGAGAGTTATACAAAAGTTCAAATAGTGATGCGGAAAACCGTCAGAACATTGTAAAGTTTCTAGAGAATTTAAATATACCTCAATTAACCGAAGAACAAAAGTTGACCTGCGAAGGCAAAATTTCAGCTGAGGAATGTTACAATATCCTCGAAAGCTTTCAAACCAACAAAACTCCCGGGAATGACGGAATTCCTATAGAATTCTACAAAGTGTTCTGGCCTTTAATAAGCGATCCTTTTCTTAAATGCGTGATCGAAAGCTTTGAAAAAGGTGAAATGTCTTGTTCTCAAAAACAAGCGGTAATTACTCTAATAGAAAAAAAAGGAAAAGATCGTTCATATATTGAGAACTGGCGTCCAATCTCTCTCGTAAACGTTGACACAAAAATTATGTCCAAAGTGATCGCCACTAGAATTAAAAATGTTCTTCCAAATATTATACACCATAACCAAACTGGATACGTGAAAGACCGATATATCGGCGAAACAATTAGATCAGTTTTCGATATTATGGATTTCACTGCAAAAGAAAATATTCCAGGACTAATGATATTTATTGATTTTGAAAAGGCATTTGATAGCGTAGAATGGGAATTTCTTCTCTATTGTTTGAAATCCTTCAATTTTGGCCCTAATTTCATCCATTGGGTTCAAACGTTCTACAGAAACATACAAAGCTGTGTGATAAACAACGGACTCTCATCTGAATACTTTAATCTTGAACGTGGGGTACGGCAGGGGGACCCGCTCTCTCCTTACCTCTTTGTAGCTACTATAGAAACATTAGCAATTGCGATTCGACAAAATAAAGATATCAATGGTATCTCTATTGGGAGTGAGGAGACAAAAATTCTTCAATACGCAGATGATACGACAGCAATACTTGCCGACACAAGCTCTGCTACTGCCCTTTTTAGGCTGTTAGATGATTTCAAGATTGTCTCTGGCTTAAAAATTAATTGTTCCAAAACGGAAGCTATGTGGATAGGTTCTTCAAGGAACTGCAAAGCACAGCCTTTTGGAATTAAATGGCCTAACGAACCGATAAAGGCTTTAGGAATTTATTACACGTATGATCAAAAATTGCTTCTTGAAAAGAATTTCATAGAAAGATTAGACAGTATTAAAAACCTGACTAGAATTTGGTCCTCTAGAGGACTCTCTATTTATGGCAAAATTACACTTATCAAATCTCTATTAATCCCGAAATTTGTTTATGTGTCATCTTTAATACCTACCCCAAAAGAATTTGTAAGCCAGTTAAACCAGTTATTATTTCAATTCTTATGGAATGGTCGTGATAAAGTCACACGCAGATCGGCGATAAATGAATACTCCAACGGAGGATTAAAGATGATTGATTTTGATAGCATGATAATATCGCTTCGATTGGCATGGCTAAAAAAGAATAGCTAGCTCAAATGATGGCACCTGGAAAAGGTATCTGACACATCATCTAGAACGCTTTGGCGGCCTTTTCTTGTTTCATTGCAATTATGATGTTAGTATCCTTCCACTGAATATTTCTCTATTCTATCTAGAATTACTGCAGTGGTGGTCAGAATTTAGAGATACGTTCTCTTCAGAAAAAGACTGGCGTTATATTCTTTGGAATAACAAACAAATACTCATTAATAATAAAACAGTTTATTATAAAAGCTATTTCGAAGCTGGTGTAGTTCACATCAGCGATCTATCCTTTGACTTAAATAACAAAGATTCCTTTTCCTTAGTTTCTAACAAGATTTCTGAAACTAATTTTTTAGTTTGGGCAGGTCTTCGACACTCCATCCCTTCCATTTTAAAAATTTGGACTCATAAATCAACAACAGGTGAACTTTCTCTAAAAATTGACGATAATATATTTGATGTCACAAAGAAAAAATCTAAAGACTATTATACTTTACTTGTAAGCAGAAAGGCTCTCTTTCCAACTAATGTAAACAAGCTGCAAAATGAATTTCATTTCACACTCGAGGAAGTTAAACAAATTTTTATGATCCCGCATAGTGTTGCTCTTGAAGCATATGTTAAGGCATTTCAATACAAAATTCTTAACTCCATTCTCTATACTAATGCTAAACTTTACAAAATTGGCTTTAAATTGAATGACTCGTGCTCATTTTGTTCATCTGAACCAGAAACGCTATATCACTTCCTATATCTTTGTCCTTTCTCGGTAGATTTCTGGCGTGACTTCGAAGTATTTTGGCACCAACTTTTAAAGGAAAACATTCGACTTTCGTTGCAAGATGTTTTAGTTGGAATGATACGACAAAACTCCCCTTCTGCTAAGCTTCTAAACTATCTAATTATGATTGGGAAATAGTACTTGTGGGATTGTAGAAGAAGTCAAATTCTTCCGAATATATATGGATTTAAAAAGAAAATTGCTGTAAAATATGAAACGGAAAAATATATGTCTGCAAAGCAAAAAAGCAAAGGATTTCTTTGAAGCTAAATGGATAGTGTCGCCTCTTGTAAATGCTTGACTATTTAAAGGTTTTAATATGCATCCACTTTCTGTATGTAATTAATATATTATTTACATTATATTTTGTAAACATTTCTAGTTTGTTTGAATATCAGTGTTAATTTGTTGTATTATATTATTAGTATTAGTGGTATTAGTTGTAACATTATAATTATGTAGGTAAGTAACTAATTTGCTGTATTAATATCAATTTGTTTCAATAAAGAATTATATATTTAAAAAAAAAAACAAAAAAAAAAAAGCCCTGGGGTAGGAACGAAAAAGAGGGAATTGCCCCATCCTCCATCAACACTGCAACATTTTTCATTGATCGCACAGTCGAATAGTGCCGTTTTAAGCATTTTAATGTGTGATTTTTTGCTTCAATTAACATCTTCCTTTGTAATATCGCTTGGATTCTACCTAAGACTTCACGCAGCAAAGACATGCACCAGTTTATAATTTTAGCAGTGATGTAAAATTATTGACATATTTTAAATCAATAGAGTGCTCTAAAGTTACATTTTATGAATAGTTTTATATATAATGAGGTTGTTTTTCAAAATAATATCAACAGAAATTTGATTCAATACCAAAACACGTTGGTTAGTGTCGATAGCTCCCGATTTCACTATGTAATTCTGGCTTGATAAGTAATGAAGAAATGCATGCATAAAATCAAGAACATGCCTTTACAACCCCTTCAATTTTTTCCTCACACTGTCCTTGACAGACGAGCCAATCCACTTTCTTTCCCAGTAAAACCCTCTGTGTAAGTTATATTCTGATAGGAAACCACCTGCGTATCAAAAGCCCTGGAATGGCCCTAGGGTTGGCAAATGCCCGGCCCGCACACAGCACAAAATTTGCAAATGCCCCACCCCCGGGCCTAACAAGGCGGGCAAATGCCCCGCAGTAGCCCTGGGAAGTGGGGGGGTGGTGCTGGGCGAAGCTGGAATTGACTGATGCTTTAACATTAATCATATGTAATGTAGGCTAACCCAAACTTCAAGAAAATGTGATAATTCCTATGAAAGTTTGTTTAGTTTAGTGGTATTAAATACTTACGATGAGGCTGCACTATGATTAAAGAAAAACGCAAAGGTTTCTAGAAATTCCTTCTCGGACTTGACAACGTCGTGCGCCTTTGCTTCTTTAGGTGGCTCTAGGTTCATCGCTTCTAAGAGGTCGAGAGAATCGACAAAATAATCCACGTTTGCCTCGAAGCCACATGCCACCTTGGGTGTTCCTTTCAAAGGGTTTTCTTGTTCTACAAGTTTTAGTCCATCTAAAACTGCCAGAACACGTTTATATTGACTAGTTACGTGTTTGTAGTAAAAGTAGGCTGCCACGACAATCCCGATTGTCAATATTGTAGCTAAAATGTTGGCCATTTGTTTCCAAATTGAGCCCAACGATGATTCTAAAACAGATCTAGATCAACAGTAACTTGGTGAAGATGAAAATTACAGCTACAGATGTGACTATTTTCCGTGAGTACAAAGCACAAAAGCAAGGCCCTCCGGGAAAGCCGCTGACCATGTATTAGCTTGGGAGAATGTGCCTCTTTCGAGGGGTGGGTAAGTGGGGGGGGGGCGCTTGCAGCTGTTGGTGAGGTAGGGCAAGAGGTAGGGTTCATTTTTATTCGGGGAATTTGAGCCCAAAGTTTACTTCTTATGTGCAGGGTAAATTTCTGTTAGTTGAACGCAACAGCGTGTTGCTATGGAGTACGTCAATCTCGAGAAAACTTAGATTTTTTGGAAAACTCTAATTCAACAAAAAGGTACAATTCGACTTCCTAAAGTTTGAAGTTTATTAATTCATAAATACGTAGCGCTTCGAATACTGAATTGCGTATTTAGTCTATTTACGTTACAAAAATTAAACTATAGATCTAAACATTAACTAATCTATCTTAATTAAAAGGAATAAAAGTGAAGAATGATCATCGCAGTAAATTTTCCAATTTAAGCATGGAAAGAAGAAGCAAGCCTGAAAGAAAAAAAAAAATCAGGGCTTCATCGGTGCGTTGCTCTACCAACTGAGCTATGAAGCCACACATTGGGAGCGAGGTCAATTTATCAAAAATGAATTATTTCATATATATACTTCATTTAAAAGGAATAAAAAAGCTAACAAGAAATGAGATTCTAAAAAAAGTTATCGAAATACAAGCTGCGAAATTCCGACTCTAACCTATACGTTAGGGCCTGTTAACATGGAGGTGGGGGACCCCTGGTAGGTGAGGTAACGCGCTTTGGTGGGTAAGCCGCCTGTTCACATAATCTCTCATTTTCATTCGATCACGTTTATATGATAGGTAGGCTGACCCGCCGCATGTTACCACACCTTTTTGGGGTCCCCCCACCTCCATCTAAAAAGGCCCTTAGTCATTAAGACATGAAAAGATGAAGCTATTCTTAAAACAGTCGGTTTTAAAACGTGGCACGTTAAAAAGTCGCGCGCGCCTTAATGAATAAGTAGATTCGTACGGTGCAGGTAATAGGCTGATTTAGCAACAGACTGGGAAACGTCATTTGACGACGGGAAAGCGGGCGGTAAGGACTGAACTCGACTTCCGGTGCCCAATTTGCCGCTGTGCCATTGGCCAAGCCAGTTGTTTGATTTGCGCGCGCAGTCGTCAACTGACGTTCCCGTTCTGTTGCTAAATCAGCCTAATAACTTATAAAGGCGGTGATTGTTGTCATTTACAATCATCATGTGAAAAAGTGACTCACATATTTGGTCGTGGCGGGTTGTTAACTCCTTAGCAAGAGCCTCATGATAGCTAACACCTGGGCAGGTGATAGACATTGCTCTCTTCTCTGCTCGTTCTAATTCTTGCATTAAATATTTAGGCAAATTCAAGTGAAAGGCCGGTACTGCATAGTCCATAATTGATCTAAAACAACTAGAGTAGAAGAGCCCTAAATCAGTGGGAGTAGTCTTAGCTCTCCTAAGTTGTACCAAAAAATATAATTTCTTGGAGGCCTTCTTAACAATTTCATTAATATGGATATTCCAGGTCAAATCACTGGAAATATTGAGACCCAAAAACTTTACACTGTCTACAACTTCTAAAGCATCGCCGTTAATGAGAATGGGCTCAAATTCGCGCTGGGATTTTGTAAAGGATATTCGCATTTCTTTACAATTATCAGTGTTCAGGTGGACTCTGTTTTCTAGTGACCATTGCACTACTCTATCTGTAGCACTTTGGACATTGCTAAGTTCTCCTTTCGCCACTGTTTTGGAGATAGTGGTATCATCTACATATTTCCATAAACGTGCGCTTTCGACAACATGGTCGTTAATCATAATAAAAAAAGCCAAGGCCCTAATTTGGTTCCCTGGGGGACGCCTGAGGGGACAGATTCCCACTCAGATACATATCCGTCACCAAGTTTGATTCTCTGAGATCTGTTTGACAGAAAGTCAATTATCCAATGAACTATACTATTTGGCACGTCCCACATGCATAATTTCCTTATAAGAATGCTATGGTTAATTAAATCAAAAGCTTTACGGTAATCGAACGAGGCAGTTCTTATAGTAGCACTGTCCCCCGCCGGTACCCTTAGTCCAGTCATGAAGCATGCCCAACAAAGCAAGCGTGGTTGTCACTGACCGTGGTTTAAGCTTCTAAGCAACGAGAACACTGACGCAGGTGCCGTCATGAGTTTGGTCTTTTGTTTCTTGGCTCGCTCTTACTTCTCTGTAAAAAGAACAAGTTTGAAAGTTTTTTTCTCTTGTTGATATATCCGACGTTGTCGAGTCACACCCAACTTAAAAAGAGAGAAAGATCAGGCTCAGTACCAATCGATACAGGTGCTAGAATCCTCTGTATCCACAACATCGGCCGTGTCGTTTTACATCTTGTGGTGGATCAAAGTTTTAAAGTAGCTTAAAAATTACCACCACAACCGTACTCAGATTAAGATGTAAAATTGTTATGATCAGACTACAATGACATCGGATTGGTCGTAGCAGCAAAAAGACGTCGTTATTTTTTTTTATCTGCAGCCATATTTCTCGGCACCGGGAACTTTTTTTCCAAAATCGTTCACGGGGGCTTTTTCCTCTAATAGCTGGCTCGATGTTTGCGAAGCCGTTTGAGTGAAATCTATGAGAGCGTTTATATCATAATGGAGAAATTTTGGAATGAAGTCGTTATAAAACTGAACAATCCTGACGTTCGGCCGTTTTCTGTAGAAAGCGAATTGCTTTTGAAATGCAATGTTACCTCATAGTAGTTTCATTGACTTTCAAGACGTGTTTGAAAAGATCATGGGGATCATATTACTATAAAGCCAGGGACTAACTACAAATGGATTTGTTTCAGGCATACATTGAGATGTTCTTGTTAGCGTTTTTGTAGATTGAAATTGATAACTTATACGGCAATAAAATAGGAGATACAATTCGGTATTTTTTTGTCGGAAACTTCATTGTAACAAGTTAAGTGAGGCGAGGCGAGGTCCTGCAAGTTTGCGTGTTTGAAGTAAAAATAAGCTAAAACTCAGTGGCTCCTGAAAACTACACAAAACGGTCAGTGTTACGTTGAAAAAAGTGGACATTTCTCGTGTAAGATATGTTCCGCTTTTCGCCTTTACGTTTTTAGCGTTGTTTTTTTTTAAATACAATCAAATAAGTTAATTATTCAGAAAAAGCTCGGGAAGTCAATGATCGTCCGCCACGTTGGAGACTGAGCAGTAGTCTTGGGACGTCTTCGAGTTTTCGCGATTATCCACCGAACTTCACCGAACAGTTATTGCTGATCTCATGCTCACTGCGGTCGTCAAAACATGAGAAGAAGGGAAGGAATTTCCCTCATATTCGTTTTTAAAAAGCAATTCCTTCAAACGAAATCAAATTTTTGATTCGGCTAAATGATTTTCGTTCTACCCGAAGATATTTTTGGTTAAGTTCGCCAGGAGTTCGTTATCGTCATCTAAATTAATTCACCTGATCACAGCTGATCACGAGATTTTACATGTGAACGAGTTGAGTTCATCGAAAAATTATTACAAATTTGTCGATTTAAGCTTAGATTTTATGTGGAAATGCTAAGCCATCTAATCAAGTTTGCTGTTGAGGGAGCCGCAGTGCACGATTCTTCGATTGCTAGTTCCTTTTACGTAGACTCAGATGATGACCCCGAGGAAAGCGACGAGCTTGTTTTTTGCAAGAATAATGTCTGTGTTCATCTCTCTTCTTTAAATGATTCACATACGCCAGGATACTTCAGGATTAATTCTAAAACACAGCAAAGTGGACATGTACGTTTACTGATAACGTGGACACCAAATTCTTTCCTCTGTGACAGCAACACGGAACTTAGTTTGGAGAACAGTGATGATTGTGAATGTAATAGCAGATTGCTCACTTCAAGCAACCCTTTAGAGACATTCAGAGTCGACCTGAGTGAAATGAAAACTTTGAGGATATTTTATAATCAAGAGGATCCCACTTGTGGCCAGCTAGTTATCGGGAATTTTGAAAATCACTACAAGGTTTTTCACTTTCATCGCGGGGGTCTTGATCGTGTTACTGACATTTTAGGTGAGTGGCACTGGTGTTCATTAGTAATCGATCCATTGGATTACGATGAACTTCGAAGAAAAACCTTTACAGTTGTGTCGAAAAAAAACCTGAAACATGGATTTCACCCAGAGGAAGGAAGATTCGATCCAATGTCCACGCAAAAGTGGAGAACTTTCTTCAATGACAGCGGTCAAATCGAGGACGTCGCAAATTTTCGGAAGGTGAGCTTGTCGGATTTGTGCCTTGACATGCATATATAGAGGGGGACATGGGGGTTTACGGTATTGCGGTATTGGACTTTTTTTCATGTGGTATTGCGGTAATTTTAATTTTAACGTGCGGTATTGCGGTATCATCTAGATCCAAGGTACGCGGTTTGTCATCGTTTTGGCTGACGGTATTCGGTGAAATAAGATTGTTCACGGTATTATGGTACCGTTTATTTGCGCTGTCCTTTCGATAGAGTACGCAAAACAAAACACAGTAAGACATAAAGGTCAATAAAAGTTAATATTTAGAAGTCTTAAGACATAACGGCAAATGATTACACCATTTGTGGGTCATTTTGTGACAGTTAATGGTCGACAATATACAATGGGATTGTTGTTGCATCCAATGATGAATGAGTCGTCTCAAGTTACCTTACCAGGCTTTTCAATCTGTGTACCTGTGCCGGTAATTCAAGGTCTTACACATTTTTTCACAATGGCTGAGGTCCCTGAGGTTGAAGACGGCATGGTTATTATTGACTGTGTAGCAATTTTTTATGAAGAGGGCAAAGGAGGTGAACATTATCGCAACAAGAATAAGTTGAGATGTCGGGTTTTGAGAATTGGAAAAACGCCTTGCAAAGTTAAAAGAGAAAATTTGGTAAGTTTGCCTCTTACCAGCGTGGCGTGTGAGACAGTCGAGATAGTTGACCCCTGAGAGACTGATGTGCTAGACTAGACTCACTTATCAAAACTCGCACTGGACGTGTGTGGAAAGGGTTTTGGTTGGTTTGTTTTTCACGATTTCAAGAGTTATTTTTATTGGAGTTAATTAGCTGTTCGGTCGACCTACCAAAAGGTTGAACGAATGTAGTTTACTTTTCAGTGGAAATTTGCAAACTACCAAAATATGTAAAAAACATGGACATCTGGTGCATAAATGCCTGAGATAATTAAACGCGCTAGATGAAAGCAACCATAAGTATGTGGAACCGATTATAAATGTGATTAAAATATGTGGTATCAGTATTCAGGCGATTTTCAATGTGTTATTTCGGTATTTGCCATTTTTTCATACAGTATTGCGGTATTGGATACCCTCCAATGTCCCCCTCATATATATCTTAATTAGCATTTAAAAACTATTTTGTAAAATCCAGCAGATAATCCAACTGTAGCATAAATCGTGGATTGTTAGCAAAATTTATTTTTTGGATTTTTGAATTTATAACCAAATTAATGAAAACACTTTATTGTATTTAAATACTCTTAGAAATAAGTGCAAAGAGAGGAGAAGTCGTTACGTCACGTTTACCACCTTACATCAGGCTGAACATCAGTTGACAATGGGAAAGAGAGCAGAAAGGACTAAACGCAACTTTCGGTGCGCAATTAGCTGCTCTGCCATTGGTCAAGCCAGTTGTTTGATTTGCGCACGCCGTCGTCAACGGACGTTCCCATTCTGTTACTAAATCAGCCTAATTAAGCCATAAACTCATCTGCGAAGTGTGGCTCACTGACAAATGTTTTTTATCTCGAATTTTGCTCTCATTTATTTGAAGGTTCTGGCCCAGATTGCCTCATTGTTCTCTGTAAAATACTTTTACTGCCGAGTGATTCCAAAATGGCCTCAAAAACACTCAACACAACACCAATCAAGTTTCTTGCTTAATTACGTCATTACATTGCAGACACCAAGAGATATATACATAGAAATATTGGCCCTTTGAGATTGCAGGCCGCTATGATCCACGTGTGATCCACATGCTGCACGCCTTAGTACATATAATGGTCCTCACCTCACGAGAACTAGATTCTCTAGTTAGGGTCCCAGGAGGGGGGGGGGGTTACTTCCTTATGAAAGTCTAATGGGGATGTGCTGCTGGATGGGGTCACATTTTCATGGCTGCATTGACTATAATGGGTCGCATTTTCAATAGAGTGACTAGAATGGGGTCACACATTTTCAGACTTTTCGGGGTAGGACAGTTCTTCTTAATTACGGTTAGCCAACATACCAGAATGTTTGTACTGAAGATGAAAAGTGAAGCAGCGTGCAAAGAAAATAGTGTCCGATAGCCTGGGACTAGTGGATTTTGCTATCGGGCTAGTGAATACTGACGGACAAGTGAAGTTTTCTGAAGCATTCAAATTACACAAATACTGTGAAATCAATTCTGCTCATCCAAAAGTTTTTGGGGCAAGTTGAAATGACATTTTTTGTGTGGAGGTGTGTGTGGCCGAGTGAATAACATCGCAAACTCTGGATCTGGAGGTCCAGGGCTCAAGCCTCGCCTGTCGTGTTGTTTCTTTAGACAAGGAACTTTACTCCACTTTGTCTCTCTTCACCCAGGTGTATAAATGGGCACCAGTGACATACTGCTGAGGGGTAACCCTGCGATGGACTAGCATCCCGTCCAGGGGGAGTAGCAATACTCCTAGGCTTGCTTTATGCTAAGGAAACCAGGATAAGCTCCAGCCGTTTGTGCCTTTGGCTCGTGTGCGTCATTACCTTTACCTTTGAAATGACGTTTGGGCCTACTAGTAGATGCTAGCTCCAACTTGCCCAAATGGCAAGCTGTAAAAATGACTTTCTTTGCACCCTGTAAAGTGTTCTTCAGTCAATCAAAAAATGGGTCAATTCATAGAAATAGAAAGTGACTAAGTTGGGATCGCGATAATTACATATTTGCCCAACAGCGATTAAGATTGTGTCTATATTTGGCCACGGAATAGACTGTAATGGGTTGGGGGCTTTGAGAGGCCAGCAGCACATACCCAGCAAAATTTAACCCAAGTACCCCCCCCCCTTCATGGTTAGGGTCCAGTCAGGTGAGTGTTCGAACAAAGATTTGTAAAGTTTGTTTCATTAATACTTGAAATATGTGAATCACAGTACCTCGCAGCAAGGGATGAGGCTTCAAGAATTTATTTATCATTTTGATCTTCAAGAATCACTTGTAGCTATTTTGCAGAATGTCAAATGACTGAAGTTTGTTGATTAGGGCTAGCTGAAAACTTCAAGTAAAAATATGAATTTCTAGTTCTCTGTTTCCTTTATTAGTAATTACCAAATCAGTGAATAGAGCTTTTTGCACGTTTTGATGGGCTCCCGTAAATTTGAATATCGTTGGCTATTCATTGTTTTACAACTGGAGCCAAGATGACATCTCGTTTCAAGACATTTTCGAAGACGAAATTTGAATGATAAATGAAGCAGTCGTACAGAAAACTGCCAAGAAAGCGACAAACTTTGGCTTATCAGTGTTTACTGGTATGTAGAAAATTATTTTCATGCTGAATTTGCAACAAAATCGTAAAACTGCACGTGACAAAATCCCCAAAATGTTACAAAGAGTTACTTTTATTATTTTTATCCAACTGATTTGGTAAATACTAAAAAAAAACTATCTGCCCTCAGGGTTGGTGAACAGCGCTAGATACATACTTTGAGGCTTCGCTTCTCGGTTTATAACTACCACTATTCACCTCCCACTCTACTGGCAGGCAGTTCCCAAATGGAGAGTTCTCCTGTAGCTAGCAGATCCTTAATGTTTGGATTATTAATTGTTATTCATTGCATGTGGTTTTCTGATCAGTACAGTTTAATATGCCATACCCCCTTAATTTCTCCAGTACCTTTGTTTTCATAAGATGGGCTCTGAAGCTCCTCAAAATCCTGGTGTTAACACTACTGTAGTTTCCATTAAATGATCTACTTGTTACCAAATCGGCTGCTGTTTATGTATTTTTCCAACTAATTTGCAGGCCACGTTCTTTGGTGGTTTGAGTCCTGAAGTCAGAGGAGAAGCGTGGAAATTCCTGTTACAGTACTTTCCCTTTAGTTCCACAACTCGGCATAGAGAAGTGCTTCGAAAGGCAAAAGAAGAAGAGTACATGAAAATAGATCACATGAGGTGAAGCGAGTTTAAAATTATATTAACTTGAAACTCCAATTCCTGAACTGCCTCGCATATCTTCTCAAGTTGATGGCGTTTTTTAGCTGCAGGGAGAGCAGACATTTTGGAAACTTATTTGGGTGACATCCTCTTCCACCTCTACAGTGGGAGTGCATCTGACTTAGAAAACAATGTCTGCTCCCGTACTGCTGAAAATAGTGTGACCTCATAAACACAAACAAACCTTATCAGTGTATGCTTTCTGCAGTACTTGTTGTTTAATATGTTGCTGTAAAACTGACTTTCTTTGCAACCTTTTGTTATCATTTGTATACCTGAGTGCAGCCAGTACTGTAGTGCCTTATGATGTACAGTTAACCCTTTAAGTCCTAATGGTGACCAACATCAATTTTCTCCTAACAATATCTATACATTGTCAAGAGATTAGGTTATGAGAATTAATAAAATGATCAACTAAGAAAAAATGGTTTGATCTTTTATCAAATTCTGCCAACTCATTCTTTAAGGAAATACAGAGAGGTCAGTTTGGAGAATTTGTATGTAGATATTGTGCCTTACAGGGTTAAAGCACTCCTAAACATTTTTCACAGGAAGTGGTCACTTATAAAAATTCAGAACAATTTTGCTTCGACTATTAAAAAAGGACACATTTGCATTTTGGAAAGGTGATCTCCATGAGAGGGTCTGAGTTTGAAGTAACTGCAGGTGGTCATGGGTGAACAGCTATTCACAGGGGCAGATCCAGGATTTTTTTTAGGAGGGGGTGCACTCGTCTCTTGCTCTACTTCAATACCAATAAACCACATAGTTTTTTGTTTTTTGCAGAATACCAGTTGTATTAGAAAACTGCGGGTCATCTCAGGGGGGGGTTGCGCACCCCCTGCACCCTCCCCCTTGATCTGCCCCTGTATTCATAAGACAAGATTGTGTTACCAGTACCTGTTGCTGTGTTTACAAAAGTTGTTATTTATATTATTTGCTTTGTAGACAAAACAAAAGTGAAGAAGAACAACACCAATTTTGGAAGGCTGTCCAGTGTACTGTTGATAAAGATGTTGTGCGCACTGACAGATCGCATCCTTACTTCTCAGGGGACAATAATCCCAATGTGGCCATAATGAGGTATTAATATTGCTCAAAATCCATTTTCTCCTAATGATATCCATACATTGTCAACAGATAAGTTATGAGAATTAATAAAATGATCACCTAAGTAAAAATACTTTGAGCTTTTAACAAATTCTCTCAACTCATTCTTTAAGGAAATGTATAGAGATCAGTCTGGAGAATTTGTATGTAGATTCTGGCACTTAAAGGGTTAAGTAAGAACTGTCTGGGGCTAAGACTTTGAGGTCATGGGCCAGTACACAGTAAAAATGAACAATGTTGCAAGAAGTCATATTTGCACTATTTTTCATGACAAGACCAACAACATTCAATCAGCAAGCATTTGAATTTATTGGAGTCTTAACAGACTCAGGCACTTTCAAAGCATTGCCTTTAAGAAGAATGATAGATTCAGAAATGAAAAGTAACTGACTCAAAATACTATACACCAATTAAAACCCTGGGCTGCACTGAGAAGAGAAATAATGAGAATTTTAACAGTGGGTTTGATTGATTTTGCTGCAGTTATTGTAACTAAATGATAAATAAAATTCAGTTTTAAGCGGTTTTTTTACTTTGAAATTGCGTGTATATGTTTCTGATTTATGATCTTGAACACAAGACTAAAGGTGCTGCCCCACTATTAAATCAAGCAGTCAGCTGGCCATTCCCTATGGTTTGACAATAAAAGACTTGGAATTAATTGATTTCATTGTTATCTTGTCTCTGACAGGAATATTCTTTTAAATTATGCTACATACAATTATGTAGTTGGCTACAATCAGGGCATGTCTGATCTCTTGGCATCTGTACTAGCAATAGTACAAGATGAAGTTGATGCTTTCTGGTGTTTTGTCAGTTTAATGGAAGGAAGTGTGTTTGTGACATCACCAAAGGATGATGTTATGGATCGACAGCTGGTAGGTTCACAGGGGTACACAGCTTTTGAAATAAGCACAGAATACAGGCAAACAGTTCATAAGCAGGTGTGCCAGAATGTTTTTTAGTGGTTCCTTACAAGAGTAAAGCCACAGGGGTGTCTTTTAGAAACAAGTCTGTTGAACTCAGTAGACTGTCAGTGGCAGATCCAGACCTTCAGATAAGGGGAGGCCCGCTCAACCAGGCCCTGAGATAAGGGGGGGGGAGGGGAAGTCTCAAAAAGAATTTTTTCAGCCCCTGGGACCTCAGTTTGGTCTAAAAATAAGGGGAGCTGGGCCCCTCTCCTGGATCCGCCACTGTCATTAGTAGATGTCCGTAGAAAATGTATTGAACTGGTACGAGTGTACATGTTGTCAATAGCAAAGCCTCAACATTACGCGCATTCTTAGGAAACGTGTAGAGAAAGGTAACTGCGACCTCTTTACGGTCACAAAGGACAAGTATTGGGGATTTCTGAAAATTTACTTACTTAGGCCCTAATTGTATGGAGAAAAGTTGTCCGTCCCGGCCAAATCAACTTTAGCGAATGTTTATATGAGAAAAAGAAAACAAAACCGAACTTCGTTATATCATCTTTACACAGTGCTCCACCTCCTTTGTCAAATATTCACGTTTGTGATGAGAGAGCACTGGCTTCACCAAGAGTGGGTAACATTGGAGTTCTCTTCGGCGTATCTTTGAGTATGAGTTCCTGGCAGTAATGTGCTAATTGGCATTCTGTCATCCCCGTAAAATTAGGCTCATTCGTAGACATCTCACCTTTGATGCAGCCCAGCTTCTTGTTCAAGCTTTTGTTATATCAAAGCTTGACTACTGTAATTCATTACTACATTGTTTACCTAAGCACGTGATTAAACAGCTCCAACGTGTGCAGAATGCAGCTGCTCGTGTTGTTACTCTTTCACCCAAGTTCTGTCATATTACACCTGTTCTTGCGAATCTCCACTTGCTGCTGATTGATCTTCGGATTAAATGTAAAATAGTTACTGTTACTTGCAAGATTCCCCATGGACTTGCTCTTGTTTATATTAAAGGTCTTCTTCAAAGTTACCTCCCTGCAGGGGATCTTGCTGTACCTGCTTTTATAACGTAAACAGTTATGGCCGTCATTCTTTTTCTGTTTCTGCACTACTTCTTTGGAACTGTCTTCCTCAGCATACTAGCAATGCTGGATCACTGGACATTAAATTAGATCCACCATCCCTAACATGCTGAGGAAGTACAGTTGAAAACTGCTCCTTTTAGACTCACTTTTTTAAATTGATGACTTGACTGTGGTGTTTTTATATCTTAAGTTATTTTGTCTTTAGTTTTTGTAGTTTTTAAGCTTTAACTTTTACTGTATTTTTAAGTTTTTTAAACTTATAAATAGCACCTTCGGCCCCTGGGAAAGGGCGCTCTATTATTATTACCATCATCATCATTATATTTATCATTATGTAAAAAAGTTACCCTCTTTGCCCGAGCCAGCCAATAGCTGACATCAGAGCTCATGCATGCTCTGATTGTTTCGCCTCGTTCGAGTTGACCCCGGATGGTTGAACCAGCCAGTGTTAAAATGAATATTAGTTGGGCTTACTGGGAGGATGACGCTTTCATGGGAAAAGGGTGACCCAGCAAGGAGGATCACCCTACTAGCCGGGCCAACTTTTTGTTTCTCGTGTAAACAGTTTGCCACGTTTGTAAGGAAATATAGGAAAAGTTGGCTTCCTTAGGTTAGCTCAGGTTGGCGAGAGACAAATTTTCTCCATGTAAACAAGGCTTTCCTTTATGTTCTTAATTACATTTTGACTTTTTTTCAGACGTATTTTCGTGAGTTACTTCGCATGCTGGAACCGGATTTCTACGCGCACCTGCTGCTCCAAGACGCCGCTATGGACATGCTGTTTTGCCATCGATGGCTTCTTCTCTCATTCAAACGAGAATTCTTTAACGAAGAAGTGTTAAAAATGTGGGAAGCATGTTGGTCTCGCTATCAAACTGACTATTTCCATATCTTCTTGTGTGTTGCCATGGTGCAAGTGTATGGCAAAGTAATTGTGGAGATGGACATGCAAGCTGACGATATTTTGCAGTATTTTACAGATCTATCAATGAAAATGGACGGGAC